CCTTTAAAGTTCTAGGTTAATACACCAAGATCTATTTACAGAAATGTCATGTATGACTTACTTCAAATAGTGGTTTTCTCATAAGTAGAGATGGCTGGTGGATAGCGATGTAATTCAAGATGTGCGTTTCTTTCTATTTGGGACTCGTCAACTGAATGTATCTGTATCCTGGTTTCCACTGCTAACCATCATCATCATCCATCTCTGCTTATAATGTTTGTAATTTAAGGCAATATCGATGCAATCCTCATTATCGTGGATGCGCACATTCAGCACATTCACTTCAAATATTCGATAGAACATTATATTTAACTTATGCTACCATAGAGTAAATACAATTGATTTACATTCAGGGAGACAAAGATGAACTTGAAGTATCTATACTCATACTTAAAATCATGAGTCAAATGAGACTAGACCACCGTGGCAAATCTGGAAGCACTGGACGATCGTTTCGTCCTATAATGGGACTCCTCAGCAGTGCACATCAACGATCTCACCTCGCGAGATTCGAATCCAGGACCTATCAATATCGATCGCGAGCGCCTTACCACCAAACCACTGAGCCTGCATCCGATGGTGTTAATGTCTAACTTCAACTGATCCACGAAGTTCAGCAACCGTTCAGTAATTGTCTTCAGTGACTTGATATCTCATAACAGACGTGGTCGAACTCCACTGGTCACTGCTTCTCACTAGAACTCCAGGAAATATCTTAGATGCGCACTGCTGAAGAGCTCCATATTGGGACGAAGTGGCCGTCTAGTGCTTCCAGGTTTTCCATGATGGTCTAGTTTCAATTGATTCAACGATAAAATTAATAAATTTTATCTTACTATCCAGAATCATATTTATGAATTGACTTTTATTAATGGTATTGGCGTTTTTCATTAGAAAAACAATCCATTTTGTTAAACGTGTTTTACTTTGTGTGTGTGTGTGTGAGTGTATGACCAGCTATGATATGACAACTGTTACTACTAATATTATCAGTAAAAGATAGAAAGAACAAAATGGTATTACTTAAACAGTCGTAAAATGTCATGTTTTCGTGACTTACATCGATATATAGAAGGAGCGAGAGAGCAAGCGAGCGAGAGTGAGTGAGGGTGAGCCAACAAAGAAAAGGATGATTATATGATAGATTCATAACTTTTAGTGAGGGAACAACCTCACAATCATATAAAACCATAGACGTAAGCAAACAAACACACACATAAGGATAACGACAGCATCACGCACATATTGACAAATACAAAGTAATTAATTTTTACGAAAAGAAGACACCTTTTTGGGGAAAAAATACTTTTATAAACTAAACAAGATAATAAAACAAGTTGCAACGTAATATGATTGGGGGGGATTACTTAGAAATTGGTGGTGACCACAAAGGCATGGGTATAAGCACTACCTGTGTAATGGGATATAGAGGATAGTAATTTTGAAGGAGACTTTTACATACTATTTGCATATAATACACATATACGCAGTGCACCAGTACGATGTACATGGACTAGTTACCAGGTGATTAAGTAGACGTGGTTCTATAACAATTTTTTGAAAATAATTCTATCTTATGCTATTACCAATTTCTTTATCTTTTTGTGTACTTTTAACACCACTCGTTAATATAATACAGTATTATGGGACCATTGAATGAGTAGTGCTGAATTTAGATCAACCTTAGTACACCCCCTACTACACTTTAATAAAACACCACAAAAACTGAGTTAAGATCAATCTTATGGCCAGTTTCGATTATATGTTTGGCAATAAAGAATGATGAATGTTTATCCTCTTCTCTTATTGGGTCGTTTGATTCTATTTGTTTGTACAATCATTTTAGTACATGTTCACATAGTTCTAGTAATCTTCATCTTCCCTTATTACACTATAGAAATTTATCTAAGGGACTACTTGCTATAAATAAATATTTAATATTCTCATAGTTGAAAAAAAGAGTCAATTGAAGCTAGACCACCATGGAAAACCTGAAAGCACTAGACGACCGTTTCGTCCTGTTGTTGGACTCCTCAACAGTGCGCATACGCAACCGCGTACTCACGAGATTCGGACCCACGACCTATCAGTCTCGCGCCAGAGCACTCAATCGATAGACCACTTAGTCGGATGGCATCCAACTGTGTTAATTTCTAACTTCAACCAATCCACGATGTTTGAGTAACCGTTCATCGTGGGTTGGTTGAAGTTAGAAATTAACACAGTTGGATGCCATCCGACTAAGTGGTCTATCGATTGAGTGCTCTGGCGCGAGACTGATAGGTCGTGGGTCCGAATCTCGTGAGTACGCGGTTGCGGATGCGCACTGTTGAGGAGTCCAACAACAGGACGAAACGGTCGTCTAGTGCTTTCAGGTTTTCCATGGTGGTCTAGCTTCAATTGACTCATGATTTCAACTATGAAAATACTGAAATCTCCGAAAACTTCTTGTGATTTAATATTCTTTTAAAAACCATTTAAAGTGAATACATTAGTAACTATATAGTTACTTGAAATGAATAAATCACATATAATAAAAATAGTCTAAGGAGACTTATTCACCTAGTAGAGGTATCTTTTAAATATCAATTATGATCTAATGAATTATTTCTAAGTGAATGGTTAATCTTCATTAAAATTGAAACGTGCTTAGAAGACTGTTTTTTTAAAAAGTTAGAATAACACATTATTATTATTTTGAAGAAGAAGGGGATTTACAGAGATTGTAGGAATTTCATTGAGAATTTGAGAGGAATTTATGGTTAAGTTTAAGACTCCTGAGAAGTGCTCATATAGATATCATATCAAAACCTTTGGTCGTACCAGCAAACGCTTCACGACTAGATTACTGAGCTGGAATCTAGTAGTTGTAAGACAGTTATCTAGGGCAGAGAATGAATGAATGAACGTTGAACAGTATTACCAATTGATTGAAGTTAGATCTGTAATCCATTAGATTATGTTTCACTGGTCTAGAGGTTGAGCGTTCTCCGTTGATACCAAAAGTCTGCGGTATGGTCTCCGGATGCAGCGCCGTGGATGCGCACTGCTGAGGAGTCCCATATTTGGACAAAATGGCTGTTTAGTGCTTCAGATCATTGAGATCAGATCATTATTTACATGCCTATTTTCTGATAAATTAAAAGATCAAGAAATGGTTTTCATCATTAATGTACATATTACCTACAACTAATCAGTAGCTTATTCCATCGAAGTATGATGAGAATTATTTTTAACTAGTAGTTTTGTGATTTCTTGTTACTTTCATGCTTTAATCATTAACATTGTTTGATTACAGAATAGCTCAGCCAGTATACTCTCGAACTCAAGCACTGAATGATGTATGTTTTAGTCTCTTAGGATATCATCAGTTCTCATGGAGTTAAAGATGTCGATAAAGAAAGCAACCCACTTTTAGAGCTGTCGAACAACTACTTTCAACCGCTTAATATAAGAATTTAGTACAAGCAATACCAAATCATTCTAACTACTGGTCATATAGCAAAATGTTCAATAGAATTTTGTCAATACTATGAACTAATTACGTATGACACTAGGTTTTATTGAATGGACAATCACTATAAACTTCTCGTTTGGTTGCAGCTCAAATTGCTTGGTAGTAGCATCTCTTGTTATGATAAAAGAATCTAACTAACACTATCATTTCTCTTACACTTACAAATACACCATGCTAACGAATGTCATGTAACACGAGATGTAGCTAAAGTTTGACTGCTTAACAATTCCAACAAAAAACTTAATATAATGGACAACTATTCCATAAAGTCAGCTTGGTGTTGTTTACTTTTATCTTAGCACTGTTACTTAGGACTGTGACTGGTCAGTCTCTAATTGGCATATGTGCATACTGTGAGAACTGCTTCGAAATTACCTGAAGTCACAAGTTTTATAAGCGAAGTGCGATCCAGGAAGCACGTTTCGTCCGGTTTGGGACTCGTGAGCTGTATGTACCTGCATCTCAGAGTTGATGTTCATTCTGGGACTCGAACCCACTACGATTCACTTCGAACGCCATCGCGTTACCCACCTAGCTACTGAATCTTGACGGTCAACGGCCTGTGCAATGTGTTGAAGTTATATTCATTTGGTGTTGTTTACTTGTATCTTTTCATTGTTACTTAGGACTGCAATTCCATGGAGAGTGAATAATATGTTGGTCGAGTTTTAGACAAATCATATACTTGTGCTTACATTCTATCTAAAGGTGTGAGATTGTATATAAGGCATACTATTAAGAAAAGTAGGCACCACACCTCGTTAGTCACCACACCGAGTTAAGGTTTCAACTTATAAATTCTTTTCTGGGTCAAAAGGACAGATGTACGATCTAACCATGAATCGTGTATACTTTATTCAGTTTACTAATTTCAGCTTCCTAGTAATCTCTGAATCCTCTCACTTCCATGACTGGTTGCAAAACGAAGCATATTGATTGTGTACCTATCTATAAGGTACACGTATTTATAAGTATTTATTTATATGTTTACAAGTATTTATAAACAGTTGTCTACGCAAAATACTCAACATCCATTGGCCGGATACTGTCAGCGACAGCATTTTATGGGAGAGGACAAACCAGTTTCCAGCTGAAGAAGAAATTAAGAAAAAACGTCGGAAGTGGAAAGGACATACATTAAGGAAATCACCAAAGTGCATTACAAGGTAATACCTAACTTGGAATTCGGAAGGTTAGCGGAAAAGAGGAAGGCCAAAAAACACATTACGCCGGTAAACAGAAGCAGATATGAAAAGGATGAATGTTCACTGGAAAGTACTGGAAAGGAATGCCCAGGGCAGAGTTGGAAGGAGAATGCTGGTGAGCGGCCTATGCTCCTCGACGAGGAGTAGCAGGCGTAAGTAAGTAAGTAACCTACTTATAACTGAAGGACATAACAACTATTCATTTTTAAGAAAATGATGTAAACCATAGATAGTTTGTACCAATCTTCTTAGTTATCTTTCCTTTTTCTTTATTTTAGATATCAACTACTTACACAAGGTGATGATACATTTGAATTGATTCAATTATCGAATGAGTTAATCACTAATCTACCTTCATTAGTTCCATCTACCTCAATTAATAATCAACCAATCTATTCATCAAATTTTAATAGTTTATCTTATGAGACACAAATGGAACATACATACACCTATCATCAGCAGCCAACAGTAAATCAAGTGTTACCTTATCAAAATCGACCAGAACAATTATATTTAAAAGTGATGAAACAATTAGATTGGGAAACTAAACGTCAGTATCATTTTATATTAAATGCTGAAGATAGTGGATCACCAGCATTTACCGGTGAAATGAGTTTGATGGTAAGTCTTCATTCCTGATCAAATTTTTTCTTCATTAGGCTCCTGTTATATCTCATGTAATCCTTGATAACTGTCTACACATCCGTCCTATCAGTTCAATGGAAACTGAATTATGAAGAATGTGTGGTGATATTTAAATCTTCTGAGTAACTTTAAAGATGGTCAAATAGTTGGCTATCCGATCATGATGCAACAACAGGCAGTTAACAACAGTAACTGACAAGCATAGAATCTGTAGTCCTGACCTCTGCTGCTACCTTGATGTGGTGGTCGGGCTTGCCCATCGTGATGAACCAGTCGAGCTATACTGGCTAGAACAATCGTTCCACAAAGTCCTACCATGCCAGACAGGTATGTCGAAAAGCGGTAAGACTAAAAGCTGCGAACCCAAGGTCCGAAGGCGAAGTCGCACTGCTGACTGTACAGAGGTGTGACGACAGTAAGGTGTTTCCTTCAGACAACCAGTATAGCAGCGATGCTGCCATCAAGGAGGGTGGGGTTAGAAGAGGTAGACCCTAAAAATACACACCTCGACTTATCCCACGGATATCCGTCTCTGCCGGTAAGGTCCCAACAGGTACGGAGCTAACACAAAAACTACCCACAAAACGGTCGTGTGTGACCGACTTCAAGTAGTTGTCCCTTGGTCACTGCGGTCACACTCTCAGGTCATCAATACCACTTCTAACCCGATTTCCTTTTCATGTACCCCCTAGAAGTAGGAATCTTTAGTAGTAAATTAATAAGGAATATTTGCAATCGTCTGTCACTTGATCAACCACAGATAGATTATAACTATCAGATGTATGAAAACCAGTTTGGTTGAATAACTCAAGTTATTAGTAGTTTCAATTTGATAATTGCACTAAAAATCCCAGACAAAAATATGGTTTACATCCATTTTGTGCAATATAAATGTGGCTGAGCTGTTAGGGATGGGTATTAAATGTCCTACTGTCTTGATGTATCGCGAATAGCTTGAATAACCGTAGATCGATAAAAGTAGACAATTCTTCTATCTAACATGTGACACCTCTTTGAAGATCATAAATCATATCGTTGAAGATTATTAGAATGTTCGATCATAGTGAGAAGAGGACACACAATCATTTACGGTTTCTGCGTTCACGTTATTTGATAAGTTGTACGAACAGAAGAATAATATCTCCAGCGAAAACTAAATCGAAGATGATATTATGTCTATTAGGAGTATGAACGCACTGTATGCAGCACTATTTGTCTGATGTTGTTAGGAGTTTTCCAGTTAGTTGAAATCTTTAGTAATGAAATTCTCACCACAGCTTAGAACGGAAGTATATGAAATTGTACAGTAGTCCAACCGTCTAGTGTTTTTCATATACAACCCAGTAGTAGACTGTAGCTTAATCTAATCCTAGTATTATACTAATAACAGCACTATCTCCAAATTTCTCAATAGATATACAGTACAAGATAGAAATTAGATGGATATGCTGATTCTTACTGGCAGATTAAAAATCTTATATCGTATTACACTAATCAAGTTTCAAGAGTACTTTTGCATCTCTCATTTGGTATTGGTATCACATCGTCCAAATCTTTAGGAAGTGAACTCCTACTAGAAGACCCACTTATCGATTTAGAAAACGCAGATGACATAGTCCTGTTTGATAAAGACACTGATTAAATGCAGAGTCTTCTGTTCGCACTGAGCAACAACGTCACATATGGCAAAGACGAGATGTCCGTCTATCAATTAAGGGACGAGTGTACTGTTCAGCAGTCCGTTCTGTTTCACTTTATGGATGCGATACATGGCCATTAAGAGTAGAGCATACTCGTAAGTTACTAGCATTTGATCTCAGATGTCTTAGAAATATTTCTCGTATCTTCTGGAATCACCGGATAAGTAATAATAAGGCTAGAAACAGGGTATTAGGGAATGATGGTAAATCAGTTGATGAAGTTGTGAATCTTCATCGACTGAGATCGTTGGGCCACGTGTTACATACATCAGTCAGTTACATCAATCAATGAAGTCACAAACGTTTAGTCTGACCCATGTTGGTAGATGCACACTACTTGGTTGGGGTCCGCACGACTACTATAACCAGACGTTGGAGACTCTAGGTGACATGACTCACAATCGACCATAACGATGTAGGTGTATACATTCTTTGTCTTCCCTTAAACTAAGAGATTAAATTTGTATATAGTCTGAAAATAAAATCTTTCCAAAAAAAATTGAACTAGACGTACTTTGAAATAAGAGAGAAATTAGAAAGGATAGTGATCAGTAAGATAAACGCCTTTAGCAAAACTTATTATTATTATTATCTTCTGATCTGAAAAAAATTGATTGAACAAGTGAACGAAAAATAGTTGATCACATTTGTTTCAGCTTATGACGATATAAGACTCTAATTATCCTTGTTTGATACTAGGATACTTTCCATATAACCTATATATACATAATTGAAATCATGAGTCAATTGAAGCTAGATTACCATGGAAAACCTGAAAGCACTGGACGGCCATTTCGTCTTATTATGGGACTCCTCAGCACTGCTCATCCGCAACCTTGCACTCGTCAGATTCGAATCCAGGACCTACCAGTCTCGCGCCAGAGCATTTAACCGATAGACCACTGAGCTGGCCGGCATCCAACTGTGTTAATGTCTAACTTCAAGCAATCCACGAAATGCTTTCAGGTTTTCTATGGTGGTCTAGCTTGAATGAACTCATGATTTGAACTATGAAAAATACTGAAATCTCCGGAAAACCCTTCTGACTTTATATATAACATCATATGAGGAGAATGTCTTGATTTATGGAGTCCATCAACTGGAAATTGGGAATAATAATCGTTAATGATCACTTAATAAGTGAAACATTGTACTATAATCAAATGACCTGAAATGTGTTCATGGAATAATGGTGTGTTTAATCTCCCTTGTAGAGTCAAGTCATACACATGTTTGCATTGATGAATAGTCTTAAATTATGGGCAGTTGATTGTTCAGGGCTTTTGTGTTTGTCATCGATACTATATTTGATGAAAGTTAATCATGAAATCGATATATTCAAAAATAATAAACCTAATAAATTCACATGGTATTATTTGTTTGAATCTTCTCACTAATGTTTAGAACTGCAATTGATCAGTCTTTTGTTGGCATATATGCATACTGTATGGATCGCTCTGATATTGCTTTAATTCACGAGTAGTATAGGTAAAGATGGATAGTGACTAACAGTAGAATCCAGGATGCGCGTTTCCTCCTATTTGGAACTCGTCAGCTGAATTTACCAGCATCTCAGAGTTGATGTTCAATCTGAGACCCGAACCCAGTACCATTTGCTTCAAACGCCATCGCTCTATCAACCTATCTACTGAGTCCTGATAACCACGGTACTAAGTTCGAGTCTCAGAGAGAGCACTAACTTTGAGATGCAGGTACATCCAGATGACGAGTCTCAAATATGACGGAACGCGCGTCCTGAACTCCACTGCTAGCCACTATCTATCTTTGCTTACAATAAATCTAATAGTTCATGATTTTTTTACGAACTCCAACTCAATTAAGTAACTCAGAATAAATGAGTATCCTAAAGTATTTCGGCAAAATTTTCTAGTTCTTTGAACGTTACGAATATATATATGGTTTCTTGAAACAAATGTAACCTCTATCATCAAAAATGGATGGTGGCTGGTAGTGGAATCCAGGATGTGCGTTTTGTCCTGTTTGGAGCTCGTCAGTCAGATTTAGCTGCGTCGCAGAGTTGCTGATAAAGCTTCTGAATTAGGACAATATCAATCTACATAGAATGGACATATGCCTACAAGAGACTGATCAATTGCGGTATTAAACAACAATATTTCGATACAAGCAAGCAACACTAAGTGAAGTCACATGTAACCTCCTTAAAATTATGAATAACTTGCTCGTTAAAGAGTGAAGATTTCTGGGTTGATTAGTCCATCCAACATTTCAACTGAGTATGTAATAAATACACTTTTGTAATCATTTGATATTGTTTTATACATGTACGAAATTCAATGTTATTGCATTTCATTTTTCCAGGAGATATAAGATTGGGAGAAAATGTGACTAGAGTGAATGGTTTATACATAACAAAATAGCATGATTTAGTTATTTTCAGGATTTTACATCGGGATCCCTTCAAATCTTTATAAAACTTATTAAAGTTTACTAATTATTGTATTAATGATCTCCGCTTGTACCCTCTCTAGGGGCTACTGCCGGTCCTAAGCCGGGATACAGGGGAAGGATTGAGCATGGGGTTAGCAACCCCATCCCGTTGAAAACTAACTCGCTAAAAATGCTAACTAGAAAAGAAAACTACTGATCTCCAACCTTGGTGAAATTTCTCTGCGCAACTAGCTAACAGATTAAACAAGTATAAACATATTACCTACCTACCTATGTACACAGTCAGTCAGTCACAACGTTGAACTTCGTACGTATGTACATCAGTTCGAGTTGACATACCACATTAACACAGAGACGCAGTTGTCGATTCAAATCTTATAGTGGTAGAAATAGTAACAGTATAAGCAGTAATCGGAAAGATTAGGGTTTGAAGATGTAATTCAAGGGGTATAATACAGTGAAATAAATTTGGAAAGAGAAAAAATATAGGGACATGAATAATTCAGAAGATTAGAATGTACACATGTACACGTGCCATCTTAAGGTCAATTGACGAATGGGATATTATAAATGAGATATGCAACTGGAAAACCCTGATTATTCAATAACTGAAGCTTTGTTCAAATCTAAAGGAAAAACATAAATATGATTTGTGTACATTATGATTTGATTTAACAAAGGAAAGTCTTCTTCAGATTTTAGTCTTTTCATCCATATAGTAGGTCTCTATAGATCATCAGTTGTGTACTTTATACATGAATCACATGACATAGCTCAACAATAGGCAGTTATGAATACTTGATGTGGTACCAAGGTTTAAGTTGACCATTTCGAATAATAATATTTTTATGTTGTTCCGTTGGATAGAGTAAAGAGAATGCTGATGAGCGGTCTTTGCTCCTCTACGAAGGGGTAACAGGCGTTAGTAAGTAAGTAAGTAAGTTGTTCCGTTGTCCTGTTTAAAGTTGAATTAATGTTAATTTGGTTATTTATTCCCTGAAGAAGTGACTTACATTGAGTGACGAAACGTCAGATAATCTTATTCTTCTACTCATTTGAGATATCTACAATTGTATTGATTGATTGATTTAAACAAACCAATTCAATTTTAGATTATTGTCACTGATGAAAATGATAATCATCCTATATTTCGTAATAAAAGTTTAATTATTAATGTACCAGAAAATTCACCTGAAGGTTTACATCTTATTCAATTAATTGCTGATGATCCGGATGAAGGTAAATCTGGTCAAATTATATATAGTTTAGTAAATAATGAGATCAACATTCAAACCCCAACATCATCATCATCATCGCCATCGTCTTTGTCGTCATCATTGTCTAATAATGATCATTCTAATCAACGTCCGTTACATACTACTATTTATAATTCTTCAACATTAGGATTGAATACCATAAATACTAATAGTAACAGTAATGATAATAGTAATGAAATAAGAAAAGGATTATTTGACATTGATCCTAAAACTGGTTGGTTAATATTAAATGATCATTTAGATTATGAAAAATCAAAACATCATCTTATTCGAGTGATCGCACGCGATCAATCCGATCATCCAGGATATGATGAAGCAATAGTTAGTATCTATGTAACAGATATTAATGATGTAGCACCACAAATTACAGTTGAATCAGTTAATCGTATTTCATCAAGTCAATCGATTCATGATCATGATCATCATCATCATCATCAATATAAGAATAATAATGTATTATATGTCTATGTCAATGAAACTCCTGGACGTAATACAAACAATTATCAATTAGATAATGAACATTTAAATGAATATTCTATATTAACAAAGATGACACAATTATTAGCATTTATAGTTGTTAATGATCCAGATACTGGTCCCGGTGGTACATTTCAATGTTATTTGGAACCAATAGATAGTAATAAAGCACTTAGATCCAATATGTATACATCGTTTTCAATGAAAGAACATGATCATTACTTGTCGTTGAATCCAACGACTACTTCTACTACTTCTACTAGTACTAGTACTACTGCCAATGGTCAAAGTTCAATAGTTGGAATGTTTCAATTAAATTCAATATCTAATTTAAATTATGAATTAATTACAATTTATGGATTTGATTATGAAATGAGTAAAAGAGAATCAGTTAAAGTGAGTTAAAACGTTGTTGTTGTTTATTTACTTAGTATTGTTTGTTTGAATATTCCCATTGATGTTTAGGATTATATTTGACCAGTCTTTTCTTGGCATACGTGCATACTGTGCGTATTACCTCGATATAGCCTAAATTCACGAGTAATATAAGCAAAGATGGATAGTGGCCAGCAGTGGAATCCAATTTGATGCTCGTTTTGTCCTATTTGGGACTCGTCAGCTGGATGTACTTGCATCTCAGAGTTAATGTTCACTCTAGGAATTGAACTCAGTACCTTTGGCTTCAAACGCCATCACGTTAACCACTCAGCTACTGAGTCCTGATAGCTACTTGTTTGTTTTCGTTTGTGTCTTGGTGTTTGTTTTAATTGTTTGACTTATTTGCATATTTATTTTCAAGCTTATTTATATTGTTGTACATTTCTTTAGCAATATTTCGATCATTACTTACTTAATTTTGAATGTTACCCCCAATAGAGCATAGGCCGCCAACTAGCATTCTCCAATCCACTCTGTACTAGGCCTTCCTTTCTAGTTCTATCCAATTGTTGTTCATTCTTCTCATGTCTGTCTCTATTTCTCAGCATAATGTATTCTTTGGTCTTCCCCTTTTCCTTTAGCCTTCAGGATTTCAAGTGAGATCTTGCCTTTTGATATAGTTGGGTGCTTTCCTCAATGTGTTTCCTATCCACTTCCAGCGCTTTTTCCTCCATTGTAATCTGGTTTATTTCTCTCCCACAGTAAGGTTTTGCTTATAGTGTTTGGCCAATGTTGATCTTAATAGAAAGACATCGAAAAATATGGTTGAGTAATGTGTTGATTTTCGTGTAATTGGTATTGAATATTATTTCTAACTTAGATTTGGATCTACAGTACTGTGATAAAGTATGCTTCAATTGATATTTTAAGATTAATCTGCTTGGTGTTCGACCTATCATCCCGAATCTACATATTTATTAGGTTGTTATGCTAACAAAAATTGTACTGATTAGCTTAGTATTGGTTAACCTATGCTATTTGCAACACATGGTAAATATTTGTCGTTTACCTATCAAAGCGTTTGCCTAACAGTAATTAGCTTATAATACCTTTATAGTCTTTAAAAGTTGAAGGTTTACATAATATCTGATTTTAGATATACTCGGATCACTTTCCCCTTGATTGAGCGTTCCTAAAATTTTCGATGATTAGGATATGAGTACTTTTGAATAGTTTTTTCTGGTTAGCGTTTTTTTAGCGAGTTGGTTATCTACGGGATGGGGTCGCTAACCCCATGCCCAACCCTCCTCTTTTACGAGTCCTTTGGACCGGCAGTTGCCCTCGGAAGAGCTATAGGCGTAGTTAGGATATGAGTAAGTTGAAAATAAACCAGAGAAAACCCATAGTAGGATATAATCTTAGGTATATTTAAAGATAGAATTTATAAATTAAACACAATCATGATAAATGGGGTCAAGCTATTAACAACTATTTGTCATAGATATATTCAATGTGATACAACTTGATATGAAATGAATAAAGGTAAATATGGTTTAAGTTATGGCCTAAGATAAAACCTTTAATGAAAATCAAACTATAGTGTATAGGAATTACAAAGTAAATGAACGAATAACGGAAAGTGATTGACGTGGCTTACTCAGTAAACATTGAAAACAATGAAAACAACGTCTGACATTACGGTGTTGTATAGTTCAGAGGTGTATCTTACGATTAACAAATTATATAACTAAGTATAAAAAATTAGAAAAATCATGGTTAAATCTTATTGCCTCCATGATAGTACAAAATTATCAATATAGATAGATTAAAGAGTATGACAGATAGGATGTATGTGTAAAAAAAGGGATATTTCAATAGTCGAAATCATGAGTCAGTTGAAGCTAAACTACCATGGAAAACCTGGGAGCAATTTATGGCCGTTTCGCCATATTATGGGACTCTTTAGTAATGTGCATCCACGATCCCGCTCACGAGATCCAAACCCGGAACCTATCAGTCTCAGGCCCGAACACTTAACCTGTAGATCATTGTGTTGAAACTAAATGGTGTTAACGTATAAGTTTAACCAATCTACTGTTGAAGAATCCCATGCTAAGATGAAACGTCCGTCCAGTGCTTTCATGTTTCCAATAGTGGTCCAATTTGAATTGACTCATCTATTCAACTAATAAATTACTACAATCTCCACAAAACTCCCTCCTGACAAAAAGAATATATAAGCAAAATATGGCTTCTTCATTCATTCAATAACCAGGTTAAATAGACAATCAAAAAATTTATTCACATTATTTCACAATGATTTGTTCAACAATATAATGACTTATTGTTGGGGCGATCATGAAAATTTCTGGCAATAGACATGACAAGCTCAGGAGCCATTAAGTAGTATTTAATCCAATCAGCGTTCGACCAGAAGTTTTGCTAGAAATATCATGAAAATGAAAAATCACATGTAGAGCTTTTGATTGGCTGATTACTATACTGCTACCATATGCTTAGTAGTATTCTGGAATTTTCGGGAGAACCCAAGGACTTCTAAAATACTGTAAAAACCCTGTTTTTTCTGTACATAAAATGAACCTTCAGAGAAAAGTTCTTCCCGCAAAATTTGTGCCTTTTCTCTCATGTTCAAGTTGCTGTGTAGTTGTAGCTTGGGCGATTACGAGACTAGTTTAGAATCCGAGTATAGTGTTCAATTAGCAAAACCTATCACTTATCGAGCGAAAAGTAAACATTTTTTTTCCAGACTATGTAGTTACATGCAACAAGTGTTTGTTAACAGCTGTCTACGCAAGATACTTCGGATCCGATGGCCAGACACTATCAGCAACATTCTACTATGGGAGACGACAAACCAGATTCTAGCGGAGGAAGAAATCAGGAAGAAGCGCTGGAAGTCGATAGGACACACATTGAGGAAATCATTTCATTGCGTCACAAGACAAGTCCTCACATGGAATCCTGAAGGTCAAAGGAGAAGAGTAAGACCAAAGAACACATTACGACGAGAAATGGGGAAAGACATAAGAAAAATAAACAAGAACTGGATAGAACTAGAAAGGAAGGCGGTGGACAGAGTGTTTTGAAGAATGCTAGTTGGCGGCCTATGCTGCATTGGGAGTAACAAGCGTAAGTAAGTAGGTATGTAGTAACATAAATTTACAAAGTTAGAAAAAAATATTGAAACATTGATCCACATTTTTAAAAAAGGTTAATCATTAATTAAACCACATGCATCATTTGAAGTCGAACTTTTTGTCATTTTTTCTTTTTTTTAGTCGTACAAAAAATTCCCATTTCATCCTTATTATCAGCTGCTATACAACTATTTTTTTTCTGTTTTTTTATTGTTTGTATCCCTTGATCTATCACCCCCCCTTCACACACACATACCCCCCTTCACATATATATACATACAAATAATCAATATTGTCGTAAATTTTACATTTTTTTTTTACTTTTCATTAAAACAAAATCAAAAAGGTTTCCATGCAAAATGAAATCGATTTATTAAAAACAAATCAAAGTACATTCAGGAAGATAAATCAAACTGATTCTTATATAGATAGGGGGAGTGGAATTGTATATCAGATGCAGTGAAAGATTGTTATTGTTAGTTTATATAATTGCGTAATCATTGCAAATATCGGTAATGTAAACGTATATTACTGTCAAAACGTATTACACAAAAAAGTATTAAACAGTTTTGTTTATTTATGATAAGGAAGTATGTATAGTATTACAACATCGATCGACTTTAATTAGGAAATTATAGAATGTAAGAAATTGCTAGATGGCCATGTCTTCATAGTATGGAACTCTTCAATATTGCCTATTCACAAATTCATAGTTGAAATCATGAATCAATCGAAGTTAGACACCCATGGAAAACCTGGAAGTACTGCTTGACGGCCGTTTCGTCCTATTATGGGACCTCTCAGTTAATGTTTAACTTCAATCAATCCACGATGTTTGGGCAACCGTTCACCGATTGTCTTCAATGAGTTGATATCTCTACAACATACTTAGTTGAACTTTATTGGTAACTGGAATCTCCACTAAACCGCTTCTGATCTATATTCACAAATTCATTGTATATCGAATAAAAAAACATTCAGATTTCCCTATAGATCTTTAAGTATTAGATCCTACAAGCTAGAATCTAGTCAATTCATAATGTCAAAGATCTATACAAAACCAGGTACAGTTTCAATAAATCTAACTAGAATACTAAAAGATCAAAATATTGAAATCAAGCGAATCAGAATGTATGTCAAAGCTCAATGATGAATGTAGTAAAAGCATGGAAAAGCTTTAATTGAATAGATGGTTTGTTAATTTAGTCAAAGTTACTACTTATCCCATATTTCTTGATACTAAATATATAACAGTCTCAGTTAGTAATTCACCAGATGTAACTTAAATTTACTTTAAATTCAACTGATGTTGTTTATTTGAATCGTCCCATTGATGTTTAGGACAGCAATTGATCAGTCTCTTATTAGCATATGTGTACTGTGCGTATAGCCTCGAAATGACAGTAAGAGACTGATGATCAATTGCAGTCATAAACATCAATGAGACGATTCAAATAAACAATATTAGGTGAATTTAAACTTCACTCCATTGAACAATCAAATGGCTATCAGGATTCAGTAACTGAGTGAATAACGCGATGGTGTTTGAAGCGTAAGGTACTGGGTTCGAGTCCCAGAGATGCAGATACATCCAGCTGACGAGTCCCAAATAGGTCGAGACGCGCATCAAACTGGATTCCACTGCTAACCACTATCCATGCTTCCTTAAATTTTCTTTATTACGTTACATTTTTGGTTTCAAAATTGAATTTAGCTCGTTTTATTTCACTGACAATTGGATATCTTTGTTTTCTAAATATACAAAAAAAACCTCTTATCCCTTAGAAATACTTTTTTCTTTCATTCATTCCGTTTCTTCTTTTTTGTTTTCTCTTAATATATCTCTCTGATAGATTGTATGTAGTGATAATGGTAAACCAAGTCTGACATCAAGTCATGTGATTAAAGTGATTGTACAAGATTTAAATGATAATCCACCAGTTTTTTCAAAAGATTATTATAATGTAAGTTGAATTTTATTATTGTGATTGGTTAATCTGAAATTAGTTACTATGTGCATTTTGTTGTTGTTTATATGTAAAAAGAAAAAAGAAAAGATGTTTGTCTGTTTTTGTTTTCTGGTTGTGTAATACAGGTACGTTTGTTTTATTTGATTTATGCTAGCATATAAATATTGGTACAAAGGGGGCACCAGATACATATGCGCGGGCTGTGACACTGCCCAGGTGCCTAAACTGAACCAGGTGGTTTACTTATGGAGTCACACTCGGAGCTTTTGAACTGAATATCTGATCCACAAGGTAGTGGAGCATTGTGAGGAGATGCAGTCCCATGGTAGCCGCTGACCAACGACTGATTCATATGTCATTTGTTCCCTCAGGATACTGGAGCCAGTCCATGTGCACCATTGATTTGGAATGAGGGTTTTCCAACTCCTCTAGGTGGAGTTTCCGTGTCCACCAACCCGGTTAAAGCGCCGTACATTGAATTCTCGTCCTCTCAATTTCGTAGTCAACACCCACCGCCGCGAGAAGGTAATGAGTATGACTTCCCTGACAGAGGCTATATACGCGTTGCCATGTGAGAGCATTTAGAGAGGGAGAGTGGACTCTCCCCACTCTCGGTGGTACCAGAGCGTTTGGGAGCTTTGTACGTATATAAACAATTTGAAATCAGTCCTAGACAGCATATTCTATATTTTATTATTCAATATTTTAATGAAATTATAATTTACGGAGGATCTTCGAACGGATACTGTAGTGACTGTAAAAAAATTCACCTAGGGTCTAATGAAGATTATAAATTAGTGAAAGAAATTAGAATCAGAATTCAGAATTAGAAATTAGGATAGGGTATTAGAGCTAGATTTTTCATAAAGAAGTGACATCAATTACAATCCTAAATTACTGTTTAAATAATTTAAACAACAGTTTATTTGGAAACTGTGAGATATGAATGAATTCTCAATGTACAATTGACAACATACAGGATATCCAGACCTTAAACTAGTTGCTATACTGCAGGGAACAGAAGGGGGTGCAACTAAATGATATGGAGTATCTCGGTAAATACTTCATTTGAAAAATATCAATCAATTGTTTTAAACTTTATTATTACTTCCTTTTCATACCAATCATTCTCTGTTCTTGTTCTTTTGTATTTGATCTTTTCAACCTCCTGCTACCAGGGTTTCTACTTTTCATTGATGTTACATACTACTTATATCTGTCTATATCAGTAGCACACAAACACTACAATATTATAAGATAATCTAGAGAATTAGGTCAGCATGAAGGATCAGACAAAAATGATAATTACTATTAAGCAGTTCTCAGCTGATGTGAATCACAATATGACAATAGTCATTTTCAAGCTTACATATGATCACATATACAACCTTAATTGATTGTGATCAGCACAATACCACTGTACTACTGAGTTAGAATACATTTATGTAAATTTACTCTTAAGTGATAGTACTGTAGTGAATGAAGACTCAGGTGGGGTGGACCAATTTCTTGTTTGATCCAAAATTATAAAGTGCTTTCCTAAAATATGAAAACCATACATCAAATACATAAGTTGTACATCTTCTATCACTTGTCCTTTACATACTTCATAATGCTTTCATTCTTTTCTTTGATTGAATCTTCCCAATCTTCTTCACACATGCACTCCACTTTCGATTGATGTTACATACTACCTATATCTGTCAACATAAGTAGCATACACCACAGCAACTTTAATTATTTCACTTTACATACATCTGATACTTTAGCTTATTAAGACTAGTCCTGTGACCAATGTTCAGTTAAAGTAACCTTTTTAATTATATCTTCTCTGTCTTGTATTAACTTGATCATGTTATCAGTAGCTGACTAGTTTATGATAATTATAACTTATATACTTACGCTAACTGATCAGTGAGTAGTAACCAATTCTAGTGATGTACATCCACTTCATGTTTTTATATGAAGATGAAATGAAGTGTTTGTTCGTAATGTCTCTACCAACAATGAAACAAATATCATTCATGTGACAAACAATCGTTTATAATGAATCATAACAAAAATAAAGCTTCAATGTAAGGTGTAGAAGTTTTCTTTCAATCGTATAACGTCAATTAGGTTCACAAAATGATTCTGTAATAAAAGTGATCTTTATATGAAATAAATAGAAAATACCTAAATCTTAATTAATGGCTCCATGATCCGAAGTATTTCAGTCTCACATAGTCAATGAGACGGAGATATGAACTAGTATTGTTAGTGAATATTTACCTAGCAACTAAACCGATGATTGTTTAACGTTTAACTTGAGACTTGATAGAATTCAAACTATATTATATTCACTTGTTGTTGTACAGTTGTACCTTCATATTGTTATTTTGGACTGCAATTGATCAGTCTCTTGTTAGCAAATGTGCGTCGTGTGCGGACTGCCTCGATATTGCTTTAATTCACAAGCTTTATAAGCAAAGATGAATAGTGGCTAGCAGTGGAATCCAGGATGCTAGTTTCGTCCGATTTGGGACTCTTCAACTGGATATACTTTCATCTCAGAATTGATGTCCACTCTGAGACTCGTACCCAGTAACTTTCGCTTTAAACACCATCGCGTTATTCATTTAGCTATAGAGTCCTGGGTAAACATCAGCTCTGAGATGCAGGTACATCCATCTGACGAGTCCTAAATAGAACGAAACACGCATCCTGGATTCCACTGCTAGCCACTATCCATCTTTGGTTATCAAACTATGTTTGATCTAATCATTAGTTCCCAGATTACTTCCCTATAAATGTATTGATTATGATATTGGTATATGTGAGTGTTTTTCCCCTCCTTATTATTATTTTGACAGTTTTTTGTTCAAGAGAATAGTCCAATCAATACATTGCTTAATAAAGTGTTAGCAACTGATGCAGATAGTGAAAAGAATGCTGAAATTAAATATCAAATTAGTCAAGATGGTAAAGAATTTTTTAGTATTAATCAATTGGATGGAAGTATTTATACAAAAATGATATTTGATAGAGAATTAAAACAAAAGTAAGTTTTATTTTAGTAAATAATATATATATATTCAATAAGATATTTACTTACTGACGCCTGTTACCCCTCGTGGAGGAGAATAGGCCACACACCAGCATTCTCCACCCAACCCCGTCTTGGGCGATTCTTTCCAGTTCTTTCCAGTTAACATTCATCCTATTCATATCTGCTTACATTTCCCAACGTAGTGTGTCCGTTAGCCTACCTCTTTTTCGTCTCCCCTCATATTTTCAAGTTAGCTCTTGCCTCGTGATCCAGTTTGATGATTTCCGTGATGTATGTCCTGTCCACCTTCAACTTCGTTTTTTAATTGCCTCCTCATCTGGAAGCTGTCTGGTTCACTCCCACAGCAGATAATTGCTGATGGTAATCAATCAACGGAGTATCTCGCATAAACAATTGTTCATAAACCATCATCATAAACATTTTTGATGATGGTTGTAGTAGTCCTCGAAGTTTCAGTTCCGTACAGTAGAAGATGGTCACACGATTTTATGGGAGAACTGACACTGTTTGATGCTGGCTCAGTGGTCTAGAGGTTAAGTGTTTGCGCATGAGACCGAAAGTCCTGGGTTCGAATCCCATGTGCAGGGTCGTGGATGTGCACTGCTGATAAGTCCCATACATAGACGAAACGGAAGTCCAATGCTCTCAGGTTTTCACTGACTCACTTACTTACTTACGCCTGTGTACTCCCAATGGAGGTTTTCACTAATAGTCTAATATTGATCGGTTCGTGTTCTCAATTAAAAAAATCTCAAAAATCCCCTTAACTCTATACTGTTCAATTACCTTATCCAATATTCAGATACTTCAGTGCATTTTACTATACATTTTAATTTGTAAATGAATGCCTAATCAAAAAAACTGACTACAAGTGATCAGTTTCAATAGCGAACATTCAATATCTAAGTCCGATTATTTGGATTCAATCCATAAAACGTCGTAGACTTCAGCTCTACGTTCACTGAAACTCATCAGCAAAGTAATATCTCGAATCCTGAGAGAACTAATCCATATCATTACAATCAAGTGTCTGGGTCAATGTTTACGTATGTTAAGTATAGAATTGTTCAATGATTTTCACTGTTGTCATCTTTCATTTCCTTTCTTTTTTCCCTTAAGTTATCGATTTCAAGTCTATGCTAATGATAATGGTCAACCAATTTCATTGACATCAACGACTACAATTGAAGTAACTATTATCGATGTAAACGATAATACACCACAGTTTGTTGGTTTAGATCGTGATAATTGTTATCATTTTCGGATAGCAGAAAATCAACCACCGAATACATATGTTGGTATGTTAAAAAAATTTGCGATTGTTTGTTGCTAAGCAGTTTGCTTTATGACAAGATTTACTTACGATTTGTACAATAGTTTACATGGATACTGTAACATGGAGTTATAATATATTACAAATGAGGTTTGTTTCTATGTTGAAATGTTGAGTAGTCATCATTAAAAGAGCCATAAATTGGGATAGAAAATTTTATCCAGTATTCTATCATTGATAATGATGATTCTTGGTTCAGTACAATGTACATTTCCTCTTGTTCAGAATACTTATACCGAATAGGTAAATATCTAGACGCAATCTTTATGATGTACCGACCTTAATTTTGTCATTGTATTATCAGATAACAGTAAGGTATATTTTGCAAACTTAGAAAAAACAAAATTATTTGTGTGTGGTATATAGATGGAAATCAAAATATTTCAGCTACTAACTAGTTACTAATAAATAAATGTTGTACAATATCTAGGTTGTATCAATTATCTGATTGAATAGCCCAAATTTTTTCACAACTGGAACTCTAAATAAACATAATTTAATTGCAAATAATTGAGATCATGGGTTAATTGAAGCTAGACCACCATGGAAAACCTATAAGCACTCGACGGCCGTTTCGTCCTGTTGTGGGACTCCTCAGCTGACTCATCAATTCACTGAAGACATTAGTGAATGGTTGCTCAATTTCGTGGGTTATTTGAAGTTGATATTAACACCGTTGAATGTCGGCTCAGTGGTCTAGAGATTAAGCGCTAGCGCACGAGACTGGTAGGTCGTGGGTCCAAATCTCGCGAGGCGGGATCATTGATGCGCACTGATGAGGAGTTCCACAATGGGAAGAAACGGCCGTCCAGTGCTTCCAGGTTTTCGATTGTGATCTAGCTTCAATTGACTCATGATCTCGACTAGACCGTCATGGAAAAAACTTGGAAGCACTGAACGGTCGTTTCGTCCTATTGTGGGACTTCTCAGCAGTGCGCATCCATGACCCGCCTCTCGAGACTCGAATCTAGGTCCTATCAGCCTCACGCGTTAGTGATTAACCTTCAAAAGCCACTGAGCCAGGATCCAAAGGTGTTATTGTTTAACTTCAAACAATTCACAAATGTAGTTCAATAAAAGATCTAATTTAGGATAGAGATATAAACAACAAGAAATCTGGGTGGTTTAGAGCGTACGATTCAAGTCGTTATAAATGGCTTGAATCGAATTGATCAACTTAACGTACACTCATTTAATTGACTTTTTTTTAAATGTATCACATTCTTGATTAAATAGAAGACTGAATTCATTCTTCTAATTGGATTCATACACTCATTTATTCATCTTCAACTGTAATCTCTTTTAATGAATTCGAGTTGATTTTTTTTTCCACTAAATGCCATTTCTTGCACGAAATATGTATCTTACATACATTAATGCTTTCAATGATTACTTACATAGTTACTTACTTACGCCTGTTACCTCTCGTGGAGGAACATGCACCACTCACCAGCATTCCCCATTCAACTCTGTTTTGAACAAGCCTTTACAGTTGTTTCCTGTTGTTTCCAGTTACTATTCATCTACATTTAACAACAAAGTTTTTTTAGCCTAAATTCAAACAAAGTGAATTTAAACTGCACCCCATCGCACAAGCAATTTGACCATCAGGACTCAGTGGCTGAGTGGATAATGTGATACGGTTGGAAGTGAATGATACTGGGTTTGAGTCCCAGAGCGAACATCAACTCTGAGATGCAGGTATATCAATAAGTAATAACCTATTGAACTGATAGTATAACTGGATCTTTTCATAGTTGAAATCATGAGTCACCATGGAAAACCTGGAAGCACTGGACGGCCGTTTTGTCCTATTATGGAACTCCTCAGCAATTCACATCCACGATCCCACACTTGCGAGATTCGAACCCAGGACCTACCAGTCTCGCTCCAGAGCACTTAACTGACAGACCACTGAGCCGGCATCCGATCCTGAGTTTGAATCTCTCCAGTGCAGGATCATGGATGCGCACTGCTGAGGAGTTTCATAATAGGACGAAACGACCGTCAAGCAGTGTTTCCAGGTTTTCCATAGTGATCTAGCTTCAATTAACTCATGATTTCAACTATAAAAAAATACTGAAATCTCCACAAAAACTCTTCTGATAACTGGATCTTATTTATTTTATAATTTATTATAAATCTGAAATACTATCTAAAGTAACTTTTTTCAAATCCAATTTAACCATATGATATCTATCACTCCTATTCTCTTGTTACTATCATTATTATATGAATATTCTTTTTCGGCTCCACATCATAATAGGAGACAGTATTACAGTGAACTAAATAAATTATTCATTTCAACCGCCTAATCTTTTATTAAATCAAATTAGAATATAAAGAAAACAACAACAACAACAACCAAAGAATCAGTTTTCTTTTCTTTATTGGTTTTATGAAGAAAATTGTTTCTAGGGGGAAAAAAGAAAAAAGAAAAATGGAGAAAAGAAAAAAAGAGAAAAAAATAACAAAAAAAGGAGCAGTTATTTCTCTTTATTAATTTAGTTGGTGGTTTTAAGTTTTTTATGAACAAAATTGTTTCCAGGGAAAAAAGGCACTTTTATTTTTTATTTTTATTATATAATAAGTGTAATTAATCAATTATGGTTTCGGCATTATTTACTTTCTTAATAATGTTGTATCTATTATGTCCTTCTGTGTGTACAGATTATTATTCTTTATGCTTAAAAATGGCGCCATATATAATAATAATAACATCAGGACTCAGTAGCTGAGTGAATAACAAGATGGCGTTTGAAGCGAAAGGTACTAGGTTCGAATCCCAAAGTGAATGTCATCAAGTCTGAGATGCACGTACATCTAGCTGACAAGTCCTAAATAGGACGAAACGCGCGTCCTGGATTCCACTGCTAACCATTATCCATCTTTACCTATAATAATAAAAATTATTATTATTATTATTATTAAAAGTATAAAATATTCCATTTGTCGAATCAAAGCTTTATGGTCACTTAGAAATTGTTAATGATTAAATTAACTTAATGATGTACCAATCAACTTTTAAGCTTGATTAATAACTAACAATTAAAAAAATTTTTACATTGATATCAGCTTATACAGTTGAGATCATGAGTCAATTGAAGTTAAAACACCATGAAAAACCTGGAAGCACTGGATGGCCGTTTCGTCCAATTATGGGATTCCTCAGCACTGCGCATCAACGATCCCACCTCACGAGATTCGAACCCAGAAGCTATCAGTCTCGTGCGAATCTCACGAAGCGAAATCGTGAATGCGCACTGCTGAGGAGTCTCACAATAGGAGGAAGTAGCCGTCTAGTGATTCCAGGTTTTAATTTCAATAACAAACAAAAATTAAATTAAATCACTTAACTCCTTTTGTTGTCAAGCTATAATATGAATTACATTAAAAATCAAATGAATGAATACGTTATTTGTTACAAGGTTTATTAAGGTAATATTTCATGTATTCAAATCAGTTTTTATCACAAACTAAGGACGATCAGTGAATTTTCAAAAACAAAGGTGTATTCAAAAACAAAGATTAATATTGGCTAGCAGTGAAATTCAGGAAGCGCGTTTGGTCGTATTCAGGACTCGTCAGCTGGATGTACCTGTATCTCAAAGTTGATGTTCACTCTGAGACTCGAACCCAGTATCGTTCGCTTCAAACGAATTCGCGTTATCTACTCAGCTACTGATTTCTGATAGCCACTTGGTTGTGCAATCGGGTAAAGTTTAAATTCAATTAGTATTGTTTGTTTGAATCTTCTCATTGATGTTTTACGACTGCAACTGGTCAGTCTCTTATTGGTATATCGAGGCAACACACACGGTATTGAATAAATAATAGGTTATATTATAAATTGACTAAAGTTGAAAATGTCAATTATCATGATGTTGACCTAATTTTTTCTTAATTGATTCACATACGGTAAAATTAGACCAGTTTACTATATAACTGATGACTAAATAGATTATCTATTTTAGTTAATGAATGATAAATTCCGATAATGAAGTTTAATAAATCCTGTACTATTTTTCACTAATTAACCCATTAGATGTAGTGCTTTGGCTTAGACTTATAGATTCTAGGCACAATACATCTGAAACTTCCCAAGTGTATAGATGTAGTGCTTCGACCTAGACTCATAGATTCCAAGTGAAATGCATTTAGAACTTCCCAAGTGTATAGATGTAGTGCTATAATTTAGGCTTACAGATTCTAGATACAATCCATCTAGAATTTCACCACGTGTATAGATGTAAAGCTTTGACTTAGACTTATAGATTCTAGATACAATCCATCTTGAACTTCACCACGTGTATAGATGTAAAGCTTTGACTTAGACTTATAGATTCTAGATACAATCCATCTCGAACTTCCCCAGATGTATACTACTGAAATATGAAATATCAGAATAAAGTAATTCAATCAATCTTTCATGAATTCACTTGGTATTGTTTGTTTGGATCTTCCCATCGATGTGTTTCGGACTGCAACTGGTCAGTCTCTTTCATGTTTTTTTTTCAACAATAATCTAATTCAAATCAATCAGAAATCATTATCCTTTGATAACAATCAATAAAAATTTTGTTTCTAGTATACTTCTAGTTTAACTAATTTACTACATGACTCAGAATCGATCACAATGGTGTAGGTGTATACACTCTTTGTCTTCCCTTAAACCTCACGATTAAAATTGCTTCATAACGTTCTTCCTTCCTATAGTATATCCTGCATACAACCTTTCTTTATATACTACCACCACTAAATTAACTATTTCTATGAATTCAGTGTTTATCTTGTTGTGCTAACGAGGTATGGCAACTTGGAACGATGCATATACATGTGTCTGTTCCTACGTTGTAGCTGACTGACTGACGAATACACTTGAATTGTAAAACATGTCTTTTTGTTGTTGTCACATACTTGACATCTATGTTCCCTGTCTCTATCATTATCCTTTAAAAAAGAGACTACAATACATTCATAGGTAACTAGCTAACTAACTAACATCATCATCATTATCACCAACGCAACAAAGAACAAACACAATTTTCTTCAAATTATATTTGTATATTTAAAACTTTTAAGAAAAAAAAAGAAAAAACATACAGTTATGATGGAAAAAACAAACGAATATCCATCTTCTTTGTGTGTGCGGGGTGTATGTGGGCTGGGTTTGTGGATTGTTCAATGTTCAACGGGGATAGTTTTCCCTTTTTTTTGTTTTTTTTTTTGATAAGTTTTATGTAATTTTAAATGATTGTTTATTTTGTGATTAAAAAATGATTCATCAAAACAAGAAAAAAAAATAGAGACCGATAAAAAGTAATGCAAATAATAAAGTACTTACCGTCGGTCTAAAAATTTAAGTTCTTTGTTGGATTCTATGTTCATGGTTTAGGAAATTGCTTTGAAAATTAAGACGGTTACCACTATTGGAGCATAAACTACCGATCAAAATTTGTTAAGTCTTGTTAATTGAACACTATACTCGGATCCTAAACTAGTCTCGTAACCTCCCCACCACCACCAGTTAAAACTACACAGCAACTTGAACATGAGAGAAAAGGCGCAAAGTATGCAAGAAGCACTTTACTCCAAATGTTCATTTATGTACAAAAAATACAGGGTTTTTATAGTATTTTAGGAGTCCTTGAGTTTTCCTGAAAATTCTGGAATGCTATTAAACTTGTGGTAGCAGTATAGTAATCAGCTCATCAGAAACTCTACATGTGACTTTTCACTTTTTAGATGTTTCTAGCAAAACTTCTAGCCGAACGCTGATTGGATAAAATGCTTCTTAGTGTTTCCTTAGCCTTTCTTGTCTTTTGAGAGAAGTTTTCTGGATCACCCGAACAGGATTCTACAACCTGATCTATCTAATGCTCTACTTTCCATTTGTTTTCATGTCTTATTCATTCATTTAATGTCTAAATTCCAGTTCCCAGTGCAATATGTTCTTTGATCTTTATTTTTCTTTTCCCTTCAATATTCCAAGTTAGAGTTTACATCTGGAGAGAGATTGATGATTTTCACGATGTATATTCTATTCACCTTTAAAGTATTTTCCTAATTTCCTTTTCAACTGGAGGCTGGTTTGTTTTCTACCATAGTTGGTTGTTGTTGATGATATTTGGTTGGCGGATTTGGAGTATCTTCAGTAAACAGTCTTTTACAAATACCCATACATTTTTGACGATGGTTGAAGTAGTTCTCCAAGTTTCAGGCTTCTACCTCAAGCTTCTTCATCAAGTGTGATTGCATGTCCTCTGTGCTGTATATTATAGTCTTGCTTTCTCGCTTGTGAATACTGAAACCTACTGTTGTGTAAGCTGCTAGTACATTGGCTGACTTCATCTAAACTAGTTACTGTGTATGGGATAGAAACTCTAATTCAACTGGAAGGTCCAAATCGTCAAGCTCTATCCAAAGTACCCACTGTATTCCATGCTTCTTCTGTGATATAAAGGTTTTATAGTCTAGTCAATCACGAGAGCAAAGAGAAAGAGTGAGAGTAGGAGGCTTCATTTGACACTAGTTTTCATTTAAAACTCATCTGCGAGCCTCTCTTCCAGCAAGATTTTATAGTTTAGTCAACAGTAAGAATTCCATGATACTGACAGCCATCTCATATATTCCATAGTATCAAAGAATGGGGTCGCTAACCCCATGCCCAACTCTACTACTTTACCTAGCCTTTGGACCGGAAGTTATGGTAGATGAAGCTATATTACGTGTCTCATATTAGGATGGAACAGCTAGCTTTCTAGTGTGCCGTACACCTTTTTTATAGTATTCCAACTGAGATCAATTTATGACGAATACTACTTGAAGACTTAACCAAAACAACTTCAATTAAATTGTTATCATTCTTACTTACTTACTTTCTTATGCCTGTTACTCCTAATGGAGCATAGGTCGCCGACCAGAATTCTCCAACCCACTCTGTCCTGTGCCTTCGTTTCTAGTTCCATCCAGTTTTTGTTCATTCTTATCATCTCTGTCCCCATTTTTTGACGTAATGTGTTTTTTGGTCTTTCTCTCCGCCTTTGACCTTCATGAATCCAAGTGAGGGCTTGTCTTGTGGCACAGTTAGGTGATTTCCTCAATGTGTGTCCTATCCACTTCCAGTACTTCTTCCTGATTTCTTCCTCCTCTGGATTGAATCTGGTTTGTTGTCTCCCACAGTAACTTGTTGCTGATAGTGTCTGTCCAACGGATCCGAAGTATCTTGCATAGACAACTGTTAATAAACACCTGTATCTTCTGGATGATGACTTTCGTAGTTTTCCACGTCTCCGCCTCATACAGTAGAACTGACTCGACATTTGTATCGAAAATTTTGATCTTGGTGTTGATTGACAATTGTTTTGAGTTCCAGATGTTCTTCAGTTGTAAATATGCTGCTCTTGCTTTGCCGATCCTCGCTCTCACATCTGCATCTGATCCACCGTGTTCATCGATGAGGCTGCCCAGATATGTAGAGGTTTCCACATCCTCGAAAGCTTCTCCATCAAGTGTGATTCGATTGGTACATATTGTATTGTATCGGAGAGTCTTGCTTTTCCCTTTGTCTATATTGAGACCTACTGCTTCGGCTTCACTAGTCGTCTTCTCCTACATTTGTTGTTGCGTGTGTGATAGAAGAGCCAGAGCATCTGCGAAGTCTAGATTATCCACTTGCATCCTAGCTGTCCATTGTATCCCGCGCTTCCCTTCAGAGGTTGACATCTGCATGATCCAGTCGATCACCAGGAGAAAGAGAAAGGATGAGAGTAAGCAACCTTGCCTAACACGGGTCTTTACCTCGAATGAGTCAGTGAGTTGTCCTGTTATCATTCTACTTGAATGAATGAATAACCATTGACTATATAAATGTTATCTTTCATTTAATTTCTTAGGTATTCTACTTGGCACCGATAATGATATTGATGAAAATGCTCAATTACATTTTCGTTTACTTGGTACAACATCTAATTTTCGATTGAATAGTTCTACTGGTGAATTAACCACGTTACAATTATTAGATCGTGAAAAACAATCAAATTATGAATTAATTGTTTTATTAATTGATCATGGTAAACCATCACGTTCGGCAACAGCTAAAGTTCATATACATGTAACGGATATAAATGATCATGATCCAATTGTTGTATTTCCGGTGAATGGTAAAGGTAATATTAGTGTATCTTATCGAGAACCACCAGGTGAAGTAAGTAGAATTTTATTCAATGTTTTAAAAAAAAATCAATATTTTTTTATAACTTTGATGGCTAGCAGTAGAATCCAAGACTCATGTTTTGTCCTATTTCGGACTCTTCAGATGGATGTCTCTGGACTTTTCTTTTATATATTACCACTACTAAATTAACTACTTTGATGAATTTGATGTTCATCTTGTTGTTCTAATAAGGTATGGCAACTTGGACTGATGCATAAATGTGCCTGGTTCTACGTTGTACATGACTGACTGATATCATCCATTTCTGTTTCGAATACTTGTGATTCACTAGAACTTCTGTGACACTTCATCTAGGATGCACATATGCTAAAAGTGACTGATCAGTCAGTCTTAAAGAATCAATGAGAAGATCCAAGCAACCGTTCTTTCTAGAAATGGTCAATAGTCAGACTTTTGAATCGATCCATTACTGTTTCATTTCTTATTATAAACACATTATCTCAGTACAGCTATCTCATTACAATCTTGTATTTTAGGAACAAAAAGAAGACCCTTGAATTCTATGTCTAATAAGTAATCATAAGACCTAGAGTGATGATCAGGTTGTTACATCTAACATTCAAAAAATCCTCGTTAGTTCCGTACAATTTACAAATTACTCATTTATGTATCAATAAATAAGAACGACGATTCGGTTTTACGTTAATGTTACTCAGCTGAATTTGTGTTCAAGAGACGTGGTACAATCAAGCTGTCAAAAACCAGTAAGCGACTGAGATAAGTAAAGAACATAGTTCCATCGTCGAACTATGGATTGATTCAACAGATTTAATCAATAATAACCAAGTCTAAAAGTCTAATTAACAGTGAACAAAGTATATGCGGTTAAGACAAAATTAAGACTGCCAGTAAACTATTATACAATTTCAAAGAAATTATGCAAATCTGTTCAGTAAAATATTTACTGATGTTGAGTAGTTGAAGGTATTCGACTGGTGACACTGAATCTATACTTCATGTTAACTTGTATTTGTCAATAAGTAGCACATCTCTATACACTTTAGACGAATTGGCTGACCCTACCATAGAACCAACCAACTCATCTTGCTTGCATTGTTCTCATGCTCCAGTTAGGCTTCGGATGACTACGAAAACTACTATCATCAACACTATATAATTCATATCAAATGATTTGATGGTTAGAAACTTTAGATTTCATGATTTAAAATTGATCAGTGTGTAGCAATATATAATGATATTCTACCCGAAGTTTGTGTTAATGGTGTCGTTCAGAAGAACAATGAAAGCTTCACGACCAAATCATCTAGCTCAGAAAACGAAACTCCATCAAAATCACCCACGTAAGGTACAAATCTTCAACACCATCTCGAAATTCTATCTACTATTAAATTGTATGTTCACATACTATTTCACAAGTTTCGTCTCTTCAATGTTTTAATTCAACTTAGTATTGTTTGTTTGAATATTCCCATTGATGTTTTTAGGACTGCAACTAGTCAGTCTCTAATTGGCATATGCGCATATTGTGCGTATTGCCTCAATATAGCCCTATTACACAAGCATGGTAATCAAAGATGGATAGTGGCTAGCAGTATAATCCAGGACGCGCTTTTCGTCCTATTTGGCGCTCGTCAGATGGATGTACCTGCATCTCAGAGTTGATGTTCACTTGGGACTCGAATCTAGTACCTTTCGCCTCAAACGCCTTCTCGTTATCCACTGAGCTACTGAGTTCTGATAGCCACTTGCTTGTGCGATGAGGTGAAGTTTGAATTTAACTTAATATTGTTTGTTTGAATCTTCATATTGTAATGTAACCTGTTAATCTACTATAATCTCTTACAGATAGTAGCACGAATTGAAGCACGTGATCCTGATGAAGGCCATAATTCCTTATTACATTTCAATTTATATTCTGGTAATGAAGCTTCAGTATTTCGTCTTGGTAGTACATCAGCTGAATTAATCATTGATCGTGAATTAACTGTACAAGATATTGGTTTATATCCATTAATAATACATATACAAGATGCTGGTATTCCATCACGCACAACAGAAGTGAAACTATTAGTTAAAGTAAATATTTTTTATTTCTTTTACAAAAATGTCTTTTAAATATTAACTTGACTAAGCAAAGATGGATAGTGGCTAGCAGCGGAATCCAGTTCGACGCGCGTTTCGTCATATTTGGGACTCGTCAGCTGGTTGTACCTGCATGAATTAAGGCTATATCGAGGCAATATGCACAGTATGCACATATGCCAATTAGACACTGGCCAGTTGCAGTCCTAACATATCTATGGGAAGATTCAAACAAATAATACCAAATGAATTTAAGTTGACTAGTTTATAAATTGTATTACAGCTATATCCGAATATATATAAACTCAATGGGCAATTGAAATCCACCAAACTATAATCTGTCTTTAATGAATATATATAGTTTATCTGTTAGGGAGAACACCAACCCAGTCACGCTTGATGACGAAACTCTGGAAGAGGTGGAAACATTCACGTACCTGGGAAGCATCATTGATATACAAGGAAGATCGGATGCGGATGTAAAAGCGAGAATTGGCAAAGCAAGGGCAGAATTTCTACAATTGAAGAACATATAGAACTCAAAACAACTATCAACTAAATTCGAAGTGAGAACCTTCAATACGAACGTCAAGATAGTCTTACAGTACGGAGCTGAAAGGTGGAGAACTACTAAATCCATCGTCAAGAAGGTACAAGTATTAATAAACAGTTATCTACGCAAAATACTCAACATCCATTGGCCGGATACTATCAGCAACAGCGTTTTATGGGAGAGGACAAACCAGCTTCCAGATGAAGAGGAAATTAAGAAAAGACGTTGGAAGTGGATCGGACATACATTAAGGAAATCACCAATGTGCATCACGACTCAATCCCCAACTTGGAATCCGGAAGGGAAGTGGAAAAGAGGAAGGCCAAAGAACACATTACACTGGGAAATAGAGGCAGACATGAAAAGGATGAATAACAGCTGAAAGGAACTAGAAAGGAAGGCTCAGGACAGAGTTAGATGGAGAATGCTGGTGAGCGGCCTATGCTCCTCCACGAGAGTAACAGGCGTAAGTAAGTGTTTCGTTAGGCTAAATTAAAATTACTAGTTGTTTCTGATGGAATTTTGTTCTCTGAGCTCTATCGAAATCACCTACCCGAGCTAAGGAATCTTCTTCACCATCTCAAAATAAAATCAAAAGCATATTAGTTGTTGTTTAATTCACCACCAAGACTATCTTATTAAAACAATTTTAAGTATGAATCTTCAATAGGCAAAACTATCTATCTTATTAGGGACTGACAAGTTGCAGTCCTAAACACATCGATGGGAAGATCCAAACAAACAATACTAAGTAAATTCAAACTTCACCCCATCGCACAAGCAAGTGGCTATCAGGACTCAGTGGCCGAGTGGATAACGCGATGGCGTTTGACGCGAGGGTACTGGGTTCGAGTCCCAGAGTGAGCATCAACTCTGAGATGCAGGTACATCCAGCTGACGAGTCCCAAATAGGACGAAACGCGCGTCCTGGATTCCACTGCTAGCCACTATCCATCTCTGCTTACCATATCTATCTTATTTATTCTTTCTAATCATTCGTACGAAATATAAATCAGCATAATGTTTGGTCGTTTCGTAGCATTAGAAATAAGTAATGCAATGATGCAACTTACTTACTGATATGTTTATTCTCAAGATCATAGGAAATTACAGTTGAATTACTTCAAGAAGTTAAGCTCTGGGTTAAGTAATCTTCGGAGTCCAAAGTCCTCACCGCTACACCACGAGGCCCCAAATGTCCTAGTACGGCCGAGAGGGTGAAGATTCCGCTATTCCTCTCCAAATGCTCTCACATGGCCACGCGTATATAGCCTAAGCAAGGGAAGTCCTACTGAGTAATGCTAATAACCATCATATTGAAGTAGGCCTAGTATTTGAATGCACAAATGAATATATCATAAATTACTTGCATTAATTTCGAGTTCTAAGCCGTACTAGATGGATTTACATTGCTATACATCTATATAATTTCTGAATTAGGAAGTAGTGGCAAGCATTATTGTTTGTCCACTCCTATAGTGTTGATAAAATTGCATTGATCAGGTCACGATGTGACCACTAGTCAACATGGCGTGCACTGTGTCATCACGTTAGATGATTAGAAGTAATCGGCACGAAGCTCTTACTAAGGTTCCGTTCTTTCTGGAGTTCGTCAGCAAAGCGCACCTGGAATCTTGATATGACTGATGCTTATTCTAAGGCTAGGTGACGTAGGTTCTAATCACCCACCAGTTGTGTTGGTTCCTGCGAGACTATAGGCATATCATTCTGACAAGTCACATTTAGCATCGAACCTCGGTCAAGCAGGGTTTTCTACAGACTACCTTTAACTATTCTATATCTTCAGGTACATACACATAATCATAACAGATCAGAACACAAGCTGACAACATACTGACAACAACCTACTACAGTATAACTTTATTGGATAAACTATTATTATTACATCAATTCTGGAAGAAATCCATGTCCTTAATTCCATTGTTAAACACTGTCTTTTTTTCTATAGAAAAATTAAATATCTATCATAGTTGAGTTCATGAGTCAATTGAAGCCCGACCAACATGGAAACCTAAAAGCATTGGACGGTCGTTTCATCCCATTATGAGACTTCTCAGCAGTGGGCATCCTTCATCCCGCCTTGCGAGATTCAGACCCAGAACCTATCAGTTTCGCATGCGAGCGCTTAACCACTAGACCACTGAGCCAGCATCCAACAGTGTTAATGTCTAACTTCAACCGATCCATGATTATTGTCATAATGGGCTGAAAAACCATTGGAAATCAATTAATAGCAAACAACTGTTTTAGTGAAGTTTCATACTCTTCAATAGTGTACATCCACAAACTTAATACTGTTATCAACGGAACTTTTATATCTTCATCAAACAGGATCACTGAATTACACAACCAATTCATTACAATAATACAAACCCATGTTCGTAATATTTGCACTAATACTGATTATCATAATCAACTTCTATTCCTAACCTGTGCAATCATAACAGAAGAATAAGAACTCAGTTAACTTTACATAATACACATTAATTTGAATATCATAAAGCATCAATAATAAGAAATTATATGCTCACTAGTGACTGACTTCAAGGGATATTTCCTTGAAATCTAATGGGAAGCAGTGATTAGTGGAATTCAACCAAGTCTGTTGTAGAGATATCAACTCATTGAAGACAATTAGTGAATGGTTGCTCAAACATCGTGAATTGGTTGAAGTTAGACATTAACACCGTTGGATGCCGGTCAGCTCAGTGGTCTATCGGTTAAGTGCTCTGACGCGAGACTGGTAGGTCCTGGGTTCGAATCTCGCGAGTGCGGGATCGTGGATGCGCACTGCTAAGGAGTCCCATAATAGGACGAAACGGCCGTCCGGTGCTTCCAGGTTTTCCCTTATGGTCTAACATCAATTGACTCACGCTTTCAACAATTGAATATCAATTGTTACATTGTAGACAACATATCAACAAAACGAAAAAAATATTAAAAAAATTAATCTCTAAAGAAAATTTCCTTTTACAAGTTTTGTTTTTTTCGTGCAAAATAAAATTTCAAAAAATGGAAAAAAATATTTAAATTTCCGGTTAGATTCATATGGTTAGTTTTACTTTTCCTCTTTTGCTATACATTTTACTATGATAGAAAATAATTTTAACCATACCCCTCTCTATCTTAGCAACTAACGTTGTATCTCCCTCCCTCCCTCCCTCTCTCACACTCTCTCTTTTTGTTTGTCTTATTTATTCTTCTTATTGAGTATCGGTATCGGATATAGTTTTTATGAAAAAAAAGAAAAAACCAAAACATGTCATTCTATCGTAGTAATAAGTCTACTACTATATGTATGTATATATATGAATGTTTGTATGTAGATGCACTTACTTACTTACTTACTTACTTACTTACTTACTTACTTACTTACTTACTTACTTACTTACTTACTTACTTACTTACTTACTTACTTACTTACTTACTTACTTACTTACTTACTTACTTACTTACTTACTTACTTACTTACTTACTTACTTACTTACTTACTTACTTACTTACTTACTTACTTACTTACTTACTTACTTACTTACTTACCTACTTACCTACGCCTGTTACTCCTCGTGGAGGTGCATAGGCCGCACACCAGCTGATGTAGATGAGCACTTATGTTTCTCATGTGATTGTTTCTAAATTGTTCTGAACTTGAAAAAAAGATGGGAGGGTGAATTGGATATTAGCAACTATCTGCTAATAAAAGTATATATATATATATATATACCTTCAGTTTTTAATGAGTCTTGTGTGAACTTCCTCAGCAAAAATAACGGAATAACAAGAGATTGTTGGGTTTTTTGTTTGGTTGTTTAAACTTAGAATTTGTCAATATAAATTTTATATTATCATATCAGTGAAATCTTTCATTAACATTATATAGTATACTTGAAAGTAATTGAAGGTAATCTTAGTGTATAAAGATTTTTTATTACCTAATGGTCATAGATAGTCAAAAAAAATTTAAACTTATGTACATCATGGCCGAGAACTCAAGTATAGTAGATCTTCACAAAGCCCCCTTCTCATGTAGTAATATATTTGAGTTTCTGACCATTATGTACATCACTTTACACTTTTTAAGATTATCTATTTATTTATTTATTTAAACACTTAAATATTGGTACAAGGAAGCACCAGATACATATGCGTCACATAAATCTCCTTTGATTTGTATGAGGGCTGTGATACTGCTCGGGTGCTCAAACTGGAGCAGGTGGAGCCTTTAACCTTAAGATATGATCGACAAGGTAGTGCAGGAGCATCGTGAGGAGATGCAGTCCCATGGTAGCCGGTGACCAACGATTGATTCATGCGTCATTTGTTCCCTCAGGATACTGGAGTCCATGTGCACTATTGGTTTGGAATCAGGGTTTTCCAACTCCCCTAGGTGAACATTCCGTGTCCATGAGAGAGCATTTGGAGAGGGAGAGCTGACTCTCCTCACTCTCGGCCTTACCAGTGCATTTATCTATAAACTGATTGATCACACCGTATTATTAGCTTTTGCTTTGTCTTACCGCCGTGCTTCGTCAATCGTTCATCTCGTTAATCATTATCATACAAATCTTAACAGTGTATAGAATCAATAGGCGAAGAGAAACGGCAACAACAGTTTTTTGTCAAATAACACAGGCCATAAAGCTACAAGCACATGTGCAAATATCAGCAAGCAAGCGCAAGCAAAAGTTGGATAGAAGTAGAATGGAAGGCAGAGGATAGAATGGGTTGGAGAATGCTGGTCGACGGCCTATACTCCATTGGGAGTAACAGGCGTAAGTAAGTAAGTAATTTCAAGCACTTAAATAGGCAAAATTTATAGCCAAATTGTATAAGGGGCACAGCAAGACAAAGCAAAAGTTAACAATAGGATTTGAGTCATAGAATGATATCCAGTCAGTCAGTCACAACGTAGAACTTCATACGTACGTACATCAGTTCCAGTTGCCATACCACATTAGCACAGAGATGCAGTTGTCGATTCAAATCCCATATTGGTAGAAGTAGTAAGAGTATAAGCATGCAGTGGAATAAATTTGTAAAGAGAAAAAAGATAGAGACATGAACAATTCAGAAGATTAGAATTTGGTAGAACACAAAGAGTGGATGCATCTTCGCCATTGCAAACGATTTTGAGCCATGTCATTCAAGGTCTCTAACCATCGATTGCTATCATCTCGCGAATCCCAACCAGGTAGTCTACACCTACCAACACGGCCCAGTCCACTTGTCAGCGACTTCATGGAATTGTGCCACGTTTTTGGTCTGGCCGCCACTAGCTTTCTTCCAACCTACTCCTACACCATGAAACATTGCACGTCGGGGCAGTCGGTGGTCGGGCATGCGTAACACATGTCCCAGCCATCTCAACTGATGAAGTTTCACCACTTCATCAATCGATTTGCCATCCCTACCTAGTACTCGTTTCCTAACAACTGCATTACTTACCCGGTGGTCCCAGGATATACGAACAATGCGTCGAAGACACCTATGATCGAACACTAGTAGCCTACGAATATCCTCTACTCTTATCAGACATGTTTCACTGCCATAGAATGATATATAAGCAATCAACATTTTGGTTTGAGTCTTTCATGATCTCTAGTGATCATAACAAAACAAAAAAATATTCAAATTGATGATATCTGTTAAGTAAGTTAATAAAAAACCAAAAATTAACCGTAATCGAAATTGGATATAGGATAGTTGCTATGCTACCCATTGAAAATTTTACAAATTTTTTTTTTCTATTTTTTTACATTTTCCACTTGGCAACAGATTACTGATTCTCCACCTCGTCATATTTATTCTAATCGATTTACGAATTTATATCATTCTAAAAAGAATGATTTAAATCATCATCACCCTCAATTAAAAGATCAATCTTATTATCATCAATTAATCAATAATAATAATAATAATAATGAAAAATTAATTAAAATCAATGAAATTAATAATCAAGGTGAGAATTCAATTACTACAGGATCTATACTTATTGCAATTGTTGCATTAAGTTGTGCTATCATTCTTGTACTTTTAGGTATTATTATATATGTTTGTGAACGACGTGGATTTCAAAATTTTTGTTCTAATCATCATATTACTAATACTAATACTACCATTAATAGGAATATTCATAATAATGATAATAATCATGATGATAGTCATCTAAGTAATCCTATGAAATATCTATTACATAATCATCATTCATTCAATAATAATAATAAAAAAAATTATAATAATATAACAACCTTATATCCCAATAAATCAATATTGATCGATAATCATAATAATCATACTAATCATAATGATAAATGTTTAAATTATTATTATCATTCTAATAATTCAATACAATTTAATCATGATAATAATCAATATATCGATCAATCAAATCATTTACCATACAAATCAATATTGATTGAAAATAATCCATTAAATGATCATGATCATGAAAATAATCAATATATTGATCCATCCAATAATATACCATTCCAATCAATATTGATTGAAAATAATCAATTAAATGATCATGATAATAATAATAATAAAGAATATACAACATTACCATTGAATGAAAAACAATATTGGATATTAAAAAATGATGAATATACATTACCTAATCAATATGAACAAAAAATTTTATCATTTATTCATAATAATCATCAAGAGAAGTTGTCAAGGCAACAACAACAACAACAACAACATGATAATGATCAACAAAATTTAAATATCAAATCAACAATATCAATGAATTCATCAACAATAGATTTCATAACTAATACTACTATATCAAGTAATCATAATACTATGGTAACAATTACTGATAATAATATGAGTAGTAGTATGATTAATAATAATAAAAAAATGAATCCAATTTATTTTACACAATCGTTAAAATTAAAAAAATTGAACACTTCAATCAATAATAATCAGAATCATAATGATATAAATAATGATCCATTGAATAATCATGTCAATGAAAGAAATCCATTAAAAATTTCTAGAAGTTGGGAATATATTGCAATACCACATAATAATCAAGTAGGTTAATTGTATCGGGTGTTTATTTAGTATTGTCATGTAATGAATTATATTATATCGAAAGGGAGGAATTTGTGAAGATTTTAGTAATTTCAATTATATATTTGGGATCATGAATCAATTGAAGCTAGAATAGCATGGAAAGCCTAGAAGTACTGGACGATTGTTTCATCCTTTTGTGGGACTTTTCATCAGCGCCCATCTACAATCCCGCATTCACGGCTCGATTACAGGACCTATCAGTTTCATTCGATAGCGCCTAACCATTAGACCATTGACCCGGCATCCAACGGTGGTAATGTCTAACTTTAACCGATTCACAAAATTGAGTTGATATCTCCCAGCAGACATTGATATCGGTAGATGCCAGCTCAGTGGTCTAGTGATTAGGCGTTCGCGTGCAGTTATGTACTCTATTCCACTGTTATCATTGACTTCTAAACTGCCTTGATTGGCTTAATAATTTTGTATATGTGTATAAATATTACTGTTTATTAGAGTACAGCCTGATGAGAATCATATCGGTTAAGTGCTTTGACACGAGACTGATAGGTGCTGCGTTCAAATCTCACGAGGCGGGATCATGTATGCGACTTCTGAGGATTCCCATAATATATAAAATTATACAATAGTCAATTATTGGTGAAATCATTAATTAAGAATAATAAATGCTGAGAATATAATTTGTAGATAAACCAATCAAATTTAAAATAGAAGGTCTTTAATTTTTGCGCTGAATTTATATAGTCATTTGGCTAAATGTCAGGTCGTCATGAAAACACTAAATATAATTTCTAATCATTACGTTCAAGAGTAAATCCTGATCATAGTTCCTCACAGTAATTTATAACCCTCATTTAACCGTAGTAAGTAGATGAACATCTTCAAGGTCATTTTAGCGTTGCTTAAACTTACTTTACTTACGCTTGTTATCCTTCGTGGAGGAGCTTAGATCGCACACCAGTATTCTCCATCCAACCCTGTCCTGGACAATCCTTTCCAGTTATTGTCAGTTGCTTTTCACTCTTTTAATGTCTACTTCTGATTCCCAACGCAACGTGTACTTTGGCTTTCTTCTTTTCCGCTTCCCCATTAGGATTCCGAGTTAGTACTTGCCTCGTGATGCAGTTTGATGATTTCCTTAGTGTACGTCCGTTGTTCAAAGGTGATCCATAAATTACAGTCTCATCTAACACATTGTAAAATTTCCATATTACTACTCAATAGCTATTTGAATTTGAGATCTTATATAGTTCATATTAGTCTCTACAAAATCAAATCTCTAAATAAATTTTTTGGATTAAGGAGAATTAAGTTCGTATTCAGGTATAAATTATAGATTTTTCCTAATGCACGTTTTGTCTTATATGGAACTTGTCAGCTGAATACATCTCTATTTTAGTGTTAATTTCATACTCATACTTGAACATCATACCTAATCCTTCAAACGCAAATACGTTATTCACTCAGTTCAGGTATTAACTTCCTTGTTTAATAGGCATGAAGGTGTGATCAATAGTTTTTAATTTCCTGTTGTTAGAATTCAATATGTTATATAGTTGAAATCATGAATCAATTAAAGCTAGACACCCATGGAAAACCTAGAAGCACTGCTTGATGGCCGTTTCGTTCTATTATGGGACTCCTCAGCAGTGCGCATCCACGAACCCGCCTCGCGAGCGAGATTCGAACCCAGGACTTACCAGTCTCGCGCCAGAACACTTAACCGATAGACCATTGAGCCGGCATCCGATGGTTTTTATATCTAACTCCAACCAATCCACGAAGTTGAACAACCATTCACCAACTGACGGAAATGTACGAAATTTACTGATGTACGCAGATTTATTCTCATTCCAATTTAGAGAAACAAATATATGCTAATTATGGCTACTTAATTGTACATATTGGGTTAAGTAGTATTCAGTTGTTGAAAGATGAGTGCTTGAATTATTTACTTTAATATGAACTCTGGCGGCCTGTTTAATTATCTGGGATACCTGTTCCTGTCATCTAGATATTTCAACAAGTTATCTGATTTCGTTTGTTTTAATACATCATTATGCCTATTAATCGCACAACCTATTCAGGTGAGTTTCTGAAAAGTGTAAGACCTATCGCTGTAAAGGTTACAGAAGGCTTAATCAGAGATATCATGGTTGCTGGCAATATGCAGCGACAAGAATGTACATTATCCAGATGTCAATTGACTGGGCTGCTAAGTTCTAACTGGCGATCACTCAATATTCATCGTCAAGAAGGACGAAGAAGTAAGAAACGGAAACTTGTTGAAGTACTTTTTGCTGAGAATTCTATATTGTATCAAAAATATAATATTGAATAAAGTTAATAATAATAATAATAAATAATAATACCTCTCCATATATGGTCCATTTTGAAAGCTTAGAACTTTATGGATTAAAGATATATCGATCAGGCGGTCTAAAACATTCCTTCAATCTAATCCCATCATAAATGACAATATTCTTTACTTGGTAATCATTACTAAAGCAAACTGAAGAATATTTCATGCATCACTAGCTCCTATGCATAATATTAGTGTAACTCATAAAGAAAATATACTTAGTAATTAGTGTGTTCTACTGATATCAACAAATATAAGTAGTATGTGTATCATCAATCGAAAGTGAAATGTCTGGTGACAGAAGATTAAGAAGATCAAAGAAAAGAGAACGAGGGCAGTGAATGGTTGCTATGGAAACAAAGGAATAATTAAGTCTGAGACAATTGATAGACATTTTCTAAATAAAGTATTTATTTGAAAAATTCCCATATTGTGATTTAGAATAATATTTAAAAGTGAACAATATTGTTTTCCCAGTTGAAATCATGAGTCAATTGAAGCTAGACACCCATGGAAAACCTAGAAGCACTGCTTGATGGCCGTTTCGTTCTATTATGGGACTCCTCAGCAGTGCGCATCCACGAACCCGCCTCGCGAGTGAGATTCAAACCCAGGACCTACCAGTCTCGCGCCAGAGCACTTAACCGATAGATCAATGTTACATAATTGGGAAATAGGTCAATGAATACAAAAAATATAGACACTGAAATAACATTCATAAAAATTATAAGATTAAGAAATAAGAAATCTCCAGATAATTGGACCGTGAAACATATATTTAAGGAAAATATATGGTAGGAGGGGGGTGAAGACAAATAAATGAAGAAAGAGCATGGAAAATAGAACCATTTCCTAAGGCCAAGGGAGAGATAAGGGTGTTACAAAGATTAGGATTGTTGGCTCGATTTCCTATAGCTTCTGCTATGTGTATGAAATGAGATCGAACCCCATAAGGAAAATTAGTAGGAATACGATAAATAACTTTAAATAACTTATTTCTGTTAACGTTATAACCGCTATCGATCAAGTGTGAAAGAACCAAGCTCCGTATCGCCTTGACAGTACCTCCCCTTAACCACTTTAGTTCAGTTGTCTAGTAGTACACCCAATATAATTTGACTGCCCCCACTTGTGTTCTCATTCACTATACAATGAAGTTGTTATGAATCAATTCTTGTTTAAAGTTAACAACTATTTCATATAATGATTGACAATAAAAATCTTATCATACTATTTCCGGTTGTTATAGTTGATGTCAATCATAATTATTTCTTCCATTTTAGATATGTTTCACTTTTTTTACAAAAAAATCTAGACTATACACAGTTATATGAAGTAGCTTGATAAAACGTTAAAATTTTTAGTTGCTAACTGATAAACGGAAACATTGTCTGGATACTTACTTACTTACGCCTGTTACCTCTCGTGGAGGAGCATAGGCCGCTCACCAGCATTCTCCATCTAACTCTGTCCTGAGCCTTCCTTTCTAGTTCCTTTCAGCTGTTATTCATCCTTTTCATGTCTGCCTCTATTTCCCAGTGTAATGTGTTCTTTGGCCTTCCTCTTTTCCACTTCCCTTCCGGATTCCAAGTTAGAGATTGCCTTGTAATGCACATTGGTGATTTCCTTAATGTATGTCCGATCCACTTTCAACGTCTTTTTCTAATTTCCTCTTCAGCTGGAAGCTGGTTTGTCCTCTCCCATAAAACGCTGTTGCTGATAGTATCCGGCCAATGGAAGTTGTGTATCTTGCTTAGACAACTGTTTATAAATACTTGTACCTTCTTGACGATGGATTTAGTAGTTCTCCACCTTTCAGCTCCGTACTGTAAGACTATCTTGACGTTCGTATTGAAGATTCTCACTTTAAAGTTAGTTGGCAGTTGTTTTGAGTCCAATATATTCTTCACTTGTAGAAATGCTATTCTTTCTTTGCCAATCCTCGCCTTTACGTCTACATCCGATCCTCCTTGTTTATCAACGATAGCCCGAAATAATCTTATTGATTGATTTATCCTGTTGTTGTGTGTTTTGTTAACCAATCAACGTAAATTATGCGGGATCGTGGATGAGCACAGCTGAGGAGTCTTACAATAGGACGAAACGGCCGTCCAGTGTTTTAAGTTTTTTCATAGTGGTCATGATCTCAACTAGGCAGTATCAAGTTGCATAGCATATTAATCAATCAATGTTATCCAAGGTATTTTAATTATGGATTGAATTTCTATGTTGACAAGGCATCGAAATGTTAGAACGACTAAATATAAAAATGTAAATGAAGACTCAACATAGTGTCCATACAATCATTGTATACTCTGTACATAAAACAACAGAAATGATAACAAAAGTGATTTAAACAAAGATGGATAGTGGCTAGCACTGGAATCCAGTTTGATGCGCGTTTTGTCCTATTTGGGACTCGTCAGCTGGATATGCCTGCATCTCAAAGTTGATGTTCACTCTGGGACTCGAACCAAGTACTTTTAGCTTCAAATGCCATCGCGTTATCCACTGAGCTACTGAATCCTGATAGCCACTTGCTTGTGCAATGGAGTGAAGTTTGAATTCACTTGGTATTGTATACTTGAATCTTCCCATTGATGTTCAGGACTGCTACTGGTCAGTCCGAAAGTGAACATCAACGCTGCGATGCAGGTATATCCAACTCGCAAGTCCTAAATAGGAAGAAACGCACATTAAACTGGATTCCACTGTTAGCCACTATCCATCTTTACTTATAATGCTTGTGAATTGAGGCTATATTGAGGCAATATGAACAGTATGCATATATGCCAATAAGAAACTGATCAGTTGCTGTCTTAACACATCAATGGAAAGATTCAAACAAACAATACCAAGTATATTGAAATTAATATTTTGTCGTTTATATTTAAGATTAACTATGAATGTATATAAACAGATGTAATTTCCATAAACAATGATACTTTACTGAATATGGAATTTTCATATTTGAAATCACGAGTCAATTGAAGCTAGACCACCATCGAATACCAGATTTTCGATGGTGGTCTACCTTCAATTGATTCATCATCTCATCTACTAATATTGTTAAATCTACTTTGTATATGTGTAAATTATTTAAATATCTTAGTTTAATCACTATTAATCCACTGGTTAGTTAATCTTTTTTCAATAAGTCAACCCATTTCGTTTTAGGTTTAAAAGGATGTGATTAACAAGTGACTGATAGCGTAATGATTTGATGAATACAATTGTTTCATTAGAAAGTAGTATATCAAAGTAACTTAAAAATAGTAGTTTCGATGATGTAAACAACTTGACAATTATTTTCGAAAGAATGTACAACAAATGGAAAGAAAATGTTTTACTGACGTACTACATTGATTCGATATTCAGCCTACATGGAAAATAAAATAGTCAACTTGAAGCAATATTAAAATTTGTTAACCATTAAGGTGATATGGTAAGCAGAGATAGATAGTAGCTAGTAGTGGAATCCAGTTTGATGCACATTTCGTATTAATTGGGACTCGTCAGCTGGATATACCTGCATTTCAGAGTTGATGTTCACTTGTGACTCGAATTCAGTACCTTTCACTTCAAACACCATCGCGTTATCCACTGAGCTACTGAGTCCTGATAGCCACTTGCTTGTGCAATGGAGTGAAGTTTGAGTTCACTTGGTATTGTTTGTTTGAATCTTCCTATCTTCTGAGATGCAGTTACATCCAGTTGACGAGTCCCAAATAGGATGAAAAAGGCGTCAAAATGGATTCCACTGCTAGCCACTATCCATCATTGCTTACAAAGCTTGTGAATTGAGGCTATATTGAGGCAATATGCACAGTATGCCCATATGCCAATTAGAGACTGACCAGTTGCAGTCCTAATACATCGATAGGAATATTCAAACAAACAATACTAAATGCATCAAGATGATAGTCTATTTGAACATTATTTTTTACATTGGGTATCTGAAGACAGAAGTAAAATATCCTGAACCCAGACTTTGTGCTAAACACTTTGATCTGTGAATGTGTATAGACTTATTAGCGGATTTGAGTTTTTACTTTCTACCCTATGCCCACACAGAATTATACATAGTGGGATACACAGTTTACTCACCTTTTGATAAACAGATGAGCAGTCGATCAATATCCTAAATGTAAAAGTTTGACAAGAACCAGCGGGGGTGCTTGAGGACGATACCTTTGATTTAGAGTAAGATAAGGAAAAATAGTCCTATCATTATTATATTGTTACTCATGGTGTTCAGAAAACTATGCATTTCCCAAACACCTTGGCTACTTGAGACAAACCATACTCAAATAAATTAATTTTAAGAATCACTCATCTAAGAAACGTGATTAATTAAACAAGCACAAGGAGAGAAAATTGGTTTCAGTTAATACATTATGCATATTAACTAGAAATACCAAAAGATAGAATTAGATTAAGTAGGATATCCGCCTAGAGTTTGATTTTGGAGTGGTAGCTAAAGCAATTAAATATCTTATTTCCGATTGATGGGTCTTTTGCTTCAACGCGACCGTTGCTATTACCTTGACGTGGTGCTCGAGATTGCCTATCGTGATGAACCAATAGAGCTATATTGGCTGGGACAATCGTTCCTCAAGGTCCTACCATGCCAGACGGGTTGGTTGAAGAACAGCAAGACAAACAAAGTCCGAGGGCGAGGCCTTACCGCTGAATGTACAGAGGTTTGACGGCAGTAAGGTGTTACTTTCAGACAACCAGCATATCAGCAATGCAGCTTTCCCACAAGGGATGGTGGGGTTAGAAGAGGTCGACCCTAAAAATGCACACCTCACCTTATCCCATGGATATCCGTCTCCGGCGGTAAGGTCCCAGCAACTACGAAGCTAACACGAAAGTTACCCACAAAAAGCAGTTATCTCTTTGACATTGTCGTCACGCCTTCAGGTCCCTAAGATCAACTCCAATTCATTTCCCTATTGAAATACCTCTAGAAGAACGCTGTCACGGTGTGGGCAACCGAGAAGTGATAACTGCCCTCATATCACTAACAGCATTCAAGATCACTGATTGACTGACTTTTATTTCAAATTCACTAAACTTTCACTTTGAACAGGCAAGTAATATCATTAACTTTCATATAAACGTTCGTCTGCTCAAATTAAGTTAAAAAAAGCTTGTAATTATGTTACTAAATTGAGTATATAATTTTTACTAGTTAAAAATATAGTTTACAAAATAACAAACTGAATATTATTTAGCACAATATATAGGTAGGTCATGGGTTCGAATCTCATGAGGCGAGGTTGTGGATGCGCACTGCTGAGGAGTTCAACAAAAGAACGAAACGGCCATCCAGTGCTTCCAGGTCTTCGTTGGTGGTCTAGCTTCAATTGACTAATGCTTTCAACAATGAAAATACTGAAATCTCCACAAAACCCCTTCTGATAACAATATATATATATATATATATCTTTTATTCTTCTGAATGTCCAACTAATCTCTTCTTCATTTCTCTTGTTTTATTCGATTACTTCAAGTCATTGTCTCCTTTATCATCAATCAAAGGAAAACACAATAAACCACAGGAACAACAACAAAAAGGTTAGTGTTGGATTTTTGTTTAATTTTATGGAATGTTTATTTGTAAATAAGTCATTGAATATTATCACAGTATAATTGGGTATAATTTGACTCATATAAAACATATACTTCCCTCATAAAATGAAATGATCTGATAAGCACAGATGATGGTGTCTAGCACTGGAATACAGGATTCAAGTTTCGTCCCATTTGAGATTGATCAGCTGAATGTGCCTGTATCCAAAAGTTGATGTTCACTCCACCATCTATGTCTGCTTACAACATTTGTGACTTAAGGCGATATCGAGGCAATCTGCACATGATGTACATATGCCAATAAGTGATTGATCCATTGAAGTCCTAAACATCAATGAGAGGGTTTAAACAACCAATACAAAAATGAACTAATTCCTTTTTAGCTATGATTTTTCATTAAGTTGAATCCTTGATGGTAAACCAGTTCATAGGTGTTCACTTCTATAGAAACTTAAACAATATCTAGTAGTTATAAAGAATGTTTTAGTTGATGTTAGTTCGTGATGAAAATATTACCAAACAACAACAGTGAATGACAACTCAATGGTCTAGAGGTTAGACGTTCTTACACGAGATCAAAGAACCTAGGTTAGAGTCCCACTGGTAAGATCGTGAGTGTGTACTACTGAGGAATACTATATTAAGACGAAACGGCTGTCCAATACTTCCAGGTTTTCAATGATAGTCTAACTTAGATTGACTCATGAATTCAGGTATGAAAATATTACAATCTCAACAAATCTCCATATTGGAAATAGTTATTAATTGTTATAACTTGTGGCCGAGTGGATGTCTTGTTAACGGATAACATGATAAAACCGCCAATCAGAGAGCAGCGAATTATCGATTGGAACAATGATACATAAAAAGCCGTACGAGTAGTCTAGAGTACTTGTCGGTCTTATTAGTCCATAAATAGCTCTCAAAGTTACAATTCATCGATCACCACGGGATATAACATTAATCAGGTTTTATACAATTAAGATCATGAGTCAATTGAAGCTAGATCATCATGGAAAACCTGGAAGCACTGGACGGCCGTTTCGTCCTATTGTGAGACTCCTCAGCAGTGCGCATCCACGATCCCGCTTCGCGGGATTCGAACTCAGGACCTATCACCCTCGCGCCAGAGCACTTAACCGATAGACCACTGTGCAGGCCGAGATCCAATGGTGTTAATGTCTAACCTCAACCAATCCACGGGATTGTGCGACCAACTTTCATTGTATCGAGGTAGATACCTGTCTCTACATGACATGGATTAGCTCCACTGGTCACAACTTCTCACTAGAACTCTAGGAATTACCTCATGGAGCCAGTCATTAGTGAGCATATGATCAATATCACAAAGTGGTTTGTGTTACTTTTTTCTCTCATAATTTCTTATTTTTTATGATGAAATAATGTTGAGTTCATTTACTTATTTTCTTATTTATTCATTTAGCTTCATGGACTTCTAATAATCAAACAATTCCATCAAATAAATCAACAACAATTTTATCACCCCAAGAATCAACTATACGTCATACAGGTAATTGTCTTTCAGATAATCAATCTTTTACTACTATTTGTACTAATACTACTACTACAACTACGGCGACGACAACGTCTACGACGGCGACTGTTACATCATCAAAATATATTGATTATACTACGATTGAACAAAATTCTAATCATTTAAAAACATTTAATAAACAATATAATACTAATTTATCAGTATTATATTTAAATAATTCAAAAAATATTATTGATTCTAATCAATTAAATCATAAACAACAAATCAATAATCAATCATTTATACCAATCAATTTAATTGACTTAGCTGATCAACAATTATATAATATGAAATCATATCCATGTGATCATTCAATCATGAATGATTCTAGGTATCCTCCAGTTAGTAACCATAGTAACAATATTAACAATAATAATGCATTCATATATATGATCAATGATCAACAGTATTCACATTCACATCATCATCATCAAAATAATGATAATAATTCACCAGCTTCAACGGATTTTGTTTAAAATAAATCAGTTCAATGATCAATTTCTTGTTTGTTTATTTGTTTATCTTCTTTTTTCTGTTTTTTTTTGTTTTTACAAAACTTTCACAATAAAATGTTAAACATTTGTATAAGGGGTTTTGTGGAGATTTAGTATTTTCGTAGTTGCAAGCGTGAGTCAATTGAAGCTAGACAATGAAGGAAAACCTGGAAGCACTAGACGGCCGTTTCTTCCTATTATGGGACTCTTCAACAATTGGTGTACGGTCGCTCAACTTTGTGGATTGGTTGGAGTTAGACATTAACACCATCGGAATGCCGGCTCAGTGGTCTATCGGTTAAGTGCTCTAACGCGAGACTTGTAGGTCCTGAGTTCGAATCTAGTGAGGCGAGGCCGTGAATGCGCACTGCTGAGGAGTTCGGCAATAGGACGAAGCGGACGTCCAGTGCATTCAGGTCTTCGTTGGTGGTCTAGCTTCAATTGGCTCACGCCTGCAAATTGTATAATTGTACATTTTTTTACATAAAAGGATTCATTACATTAGATTATATAACAACATTACTAATCATAAATTTATACTAAAATATATATGAATAAAAAAACATTGATGAAACGAAGAGATGATTGTCATTCTTGATGATTATCAATATTGGGTTGTAGAGATTGTTGAGTTTACATTGATATACAATGAATGGGTCAATGTTAGATAATCACTGGGAATCTGGATGCATCAGAAGGCTAAATAGTCTAAAGGTTAAGATTTCGTATATGAGACTGAAGGTCTTGGGTTCGAGTCTCTCGTGTAGGATCATATGTGTGCACTTCTAAGGAGTCCTAGACTAGAAGAAACGGCAGTTCAGACCTGTATATAATAATGAGTCCTCTCCCAATGTATAATAGACCCTGATATATACTTCCTTTGATTATTAGTAATATGGAAAATTGATCAGATAAGTTATTCTTAAATATAATGTAATCGTATGTTATTGTAGAAAGATCAAGCTAACCATGTGAGCTTAAATTATCAACACATACTACGCCAGTCTAAGGAACTGTTGAAGGATAATAATAATGTTAAAAGATTTATGTAATTTGGCTGCATGAATCCTGAACAGGAGACGTAATGAGATATAGAAACAGGAATTATACACCTTGAAATCTACAGATATCTATGCTTCACCGAGTAATTCGGTTAAACGGTCGTTGTCTATAAGTTGCTTTGTAATCTTATCTAATAAAATCTACCCCTTATTAAACATGTGAGTAACTGTCATTGGAGTATGTTAGACAAAATACATGTTAACTTATATAACTAACTCTATGCAAACAGGCGGATCGATAAACATGAGTTGTAATGGTAAAATGCAGGAAGCTTTATATAACCAGCTTTTCACTGTGAGAAGTATTGTGCTTTTAATCGTGTTTTTTACTATAATCAATCCTAGAAATTTCGGTAGTTTTCCAAGCTTTACTCAAACTCCATTTACTTACTTACTTAATTACGCCTGTTGCCCCCAATAGAGCATAGGATGCCGACCAACATTCTTCAACCCATTCTGTCCTGAGCTTTCCTTTATAGTTCTATCTAAATTTTGTCTATTTTCTTCACATCTGTTTCAATTTCTCGGCGTAATGTGTTCTATGGTCTTCCTCTTTTCGTTTGGCCTTCGAGATTCCATGTGAGGGCCTGCCTTGTGATGCAGTTGCGTTCTTTCTTCAATGTGTGTCCAATCCACTTCCAGCGCTTCTTTCTGATTTCTTCCTCCGTTGGAATCTGGTTTGTTCTCTCCCACAGTAGATTGTTGCTGATCTTGTCTGGCCAACGGATCCGAAGTATTTTGCGTAGACAACTGTTAATAAACACATATATCTTCTGGATGGTGGCTTTCGTAGTTCTCCAAGTAACACCCCATACAGTAGAACTGTCTTGACATTTGTATTGAAATTTCTGACTTTGGTGTTGGTTGCATATAGTGGTTTTAAGCTCCAGATGTTGTTCGATTGTAGATATGCTGCTCTTACTTTGCTGATTCGCGCCTTCACATCTGCACCAGATCCACCGTATTCATCAATGATACTTCCCAGATATGTAAAGGTTTTTACAACCTCCAAATCTTCCACATCAAGTGTGATTCGATTGATGCGTGACCCAAGTTCCACAAAAGGCCATAATAGATTAGTTCATATATTAATTTATCTGGATATCAAAGTCAATTGTGATGGATAAACTGTGGTTTTTTCTATTCATTTATTGAGTTGCTGTTGGTTAGTTAAAATGCCCGCCATAGGAACATGGTGAAGCCTAGTAAACGTTTCTGGAGAAGAGTGCTACATCGAAGCACAGCACAACTACCGGAACGGGATAGCCGTTTTCACACTGGTTACGCAGAACTATTGCATAACACTCACATTCGGGTTTTTTTGTTTTGTCTTTGGGCAGACTGATATTTGTTTTACCATCCTTTTAAACCCTCAATAGTTATACAATGACTCTTTGTAGCATTCGTAATCAATTGCGGGTATAAGTAGAATGGTTGATTAGGCCGTTCTCCATCACCCACATTACCGCTCACGTTAGTACATGGGATAGTTGCCATGATAAAACAATGTACCAGACAACTACTAGTTACTCTTAAACAATTCCAGCTACTTATTTGATATGAATTGATATTCAATGTCATTCTAAGGAACCATGAAGAAATATTTACTTTGTAAGTAAAGATGGATAGTGAGATAAGATGGTGGTTGGAGGTGGTCAACAGAAAACCCTGGACCCGGGTTTCGTGCTACTTGGCACTCGTCAGCAAGGTGTACCTGCAATCTTGAGGGAATTGGTACTCCCTGACGGATTCGGTCGCAGCCCGAATAGCTCAGTGGTAACGTCTCTGATTGTGAAGCTGGGTGACACGGAATCGAATCCGTTAGGGAGCACTAGTTTCCTCAAGATCACTGGTACACCTTGCTGACGAGTGATTAACAGCATGAAACCTGAGTCCAGGGTTTTCAGTTGACTACCTCCAATCACTATCTTACCTCAACATAGTAGGCACAGTGTCGAGCCACCTAGACTAGTGGCCACATTGCAACTTGATCGATAGCATTGGATCAGCACTATGAAGGACTTGACTCGCATGACATTTATCACCACCCAGTGATCAATCAATTGTGAAAGATGAATAGTGGCTAGCAGTGGAGTCCAGTTTGACGCGCGTTTCTTCCTATTTGGGACTCGTCAGGTTTTACTTTGTAAACATTCTAATGATGCAATTCACTCCCCACTACTGTTATTACTATTCTCACAACAACAACTACTACTATGGTTACCATTTCTAATGATACTGAGAATTATCTTCAGTTTATATCATATTTGAGGGGGGAAAGAAAATCTCCCATCACCTTTTTCTTATACACATTTTGATCAATCAATGATTGAATTATTTCCATATATTTTATTTCCATTTTTATGATTTCATTTTTATTACCCGAATAGCAATAATACTATAATACTACTACTACTACTACCACTACTACTACTACTACCACTAATAATAATAATAATAATAATAATAATAATAATAATAGTAATAATAATAGTAATAGTAATAATAATAGACTTGTCTACATAGATACACTGAACTTTCCCATAAATAACTGTAATAAAATGAAATGGTAGTTTCATTCCCATCTTTGACTCTATTCTATATCATTGCTATGCATGTATAACTGTATTTAACCCCTCCCCCCCCAACCATTATTCTCTTCATCCATTATTGATGATGAACATTAGAATCCATTTAAAAACAGATAAGTTAAAAGTCAATTTTATAAATCAAGACCATGTCGTGAATTTTTGAAGATTTAACTCATCTATTATATTCCCTCACCCCCTTCCCCCCCCTCGAAGGAATTTTTTAAGGTTAATCATAATTAAACTATTCAGAAATATATAGAAATAGGAAATAAAGGGTCATCAAAATAAGTCAAGTTGTTGGGGTATCCAATAACTACGTTTTTTTTCAAGTTATTATTAATTGAAATGACTCATATGATTGACCTGACCTGAAAGTCTTTAACGAGGTTCACATTTTCTTTTCATTCAAACAAACAAATGCTCAATAGTGAGTCACTAGATGAACAACAACTATCGTGACAAATAAATGAAGCGATATGAGATTGTTTGAGTTTTATTCTATGAAGTTGATGAATGTTATGTAACCTATTACTACTACTACTACTATTACTACTACTACTACTATTACTACTACTACTACTACTATTATTATTATTATTATTATTATTATTATTATTATTATCTTCAAAACGAACATCAATACGGTGCTTTTGTATCGAGCTAAAATTTGGAGAACCACAACAACCATCATCAATAATGTACAAGTATTGAAATACAATTGTCTACGCAAGATACTCAATGTCCATTGGTTGATATTATCAGCAACAGTCTACTGTGGTAGAGAACAAACTAGCTTCCAACTGAAAAGGAAATTATGGAAAGACGTTGGAATTGGATAAGACATATATTGAGGAAGTAGGCGCTAACTTGGAATCCTGGAGTGAAGCGGGAAAGAGGAAGGCGGAAGAACACATCGTATCGGGAATTGGAAGCAGACATTAAAAGAGTGAATAGCAACTGAAAAGAACTGGAAAGGATTGTTCATGACAGAGTTGAATGGAGAATGCTTGTGGACAGCCTATGCTCTTCTATGAGGTGTAACAGGCGTAAGTGAGTAAATTATGGACTATTAGAGGTTACACGTTATCATAGTGGTTCCACTCGTGTTACTCCCACTGGAGCATAGGCCAGCATTCTCCAACCCATTCTATCCTAGTCTTTCCTAACTCCGCTTGCAGCCCCTCCGAGGGCTACTCCAGGTCACAAGCCCATATAAAAGAGGAGGGTTGGGCATGGAGTTAGCGATCTCATCCCGTAGAAAACTAACTCGCTAAAAAACTCTAAATATTTAGTTAAGTCTATTAATCATTATGAAATCGAATTCAACATTATTACATTATATTACTTATAAGTAACTATTATTTTATTTCAAAATTTATTGTAATTTAGTTCTCATAGTTGAAATCACTAGTCAAAAAAGCTAGACAACCATGAATAATCTAGAAGCACTGCTTGACGGCCGTTTCGTCCTATTATGGGATCCCTCAGCAGTGCGCATCCACGATCCCGCACTCGTGAGATTCAAACCCAGGACTAGTGCATATTTGTATGATAAATACCGTTAAATTAATTATTCAGTTAGTTATCATAAAACTAACTTGTTATACAATATTGATAGATTGTACTTTCTTACTTACTTAATTACACCTGTTCCCCCCAATGGAGCATAGGCAGCAGACCAACATTCTCAAACCCACTCTATCCTGGCCATTGGTTTCTACTTTTATCCAATTTTTGTTCATTCTTCTCACATCTGCCTCCATTTCTCAGTATGATGTGTTCCTTGGTCTTCCTCTTCTACTTTAGCATTGATGATTCCATGTGAGATCTTGCCTTGTGATACAGTTGAGTGCTTTCGTCAATGTATGTCCTATCTACTTCCAGCAATTCTTCCTGATTTCTTCCTACTCTGAAGTCTGGTTTGTTCTCTCTCACAGTAGGTTGTTACTTGTAGTGTCTGGTCAACGGATCCGAATTATTTTGCGTAGGCAACTGTTAATAAACACTTGTATTAATTTAGGTACATTAATAGATTGTATAACTTCATAAATTTTATTTGTTGAGAAAAACTTTATAATGAAGTAACATAACATATTACATCGACTCTGGGAGAAATTCGCGTCCTTCATTTCATTGTTAACCACTGTCCTTTTTTCTATAGAACAGTTAAATATCTATAATAGTTGAGATCATGAGTTAATTGAAGCTAGACAACCATGAAAAACCTGGAATTACTGGACGGACGTTTCGTTCTATTGTGGGACTCCTCAGAAGTGCTTACTCAATATCACATACATGAGAGCTGAACCCCGGACCTCCGGTCTCGCTCTCGAACACAACCTCCAGACCTGGGAACCAGCATTGCACGGTGTTTATGTCTAACTTCAACTAATCCACGAAATTGAATGAAACACCCACCATTGTTTTCAGTGAGCTACTATGTCACAACAGACCTGTTGAACTCCACTGGTCACTGCTTCTCACTAAAACTCCAGGAAATATCTCTTGAAGCCGACTGTTATTGAGTGTATGTTAATACCCCTTCTGAAATTAAGTATCCGTCATAATATTCTTTTTCCATAAAAAATATAGCCTCAATCCGAGACCCGAATGAAGAAGGAGGGTTAAACATGAGGTTGATAACCCTATTCCTTAGGAAATAATCTTGCTAAAACAAAAAGTTGCTAAACAGAATAAACAAATTAAATTATTCGTGCCTCAACTGCGTGACCAACAGACAACTGCTTTAGGTCGGTCACACACGACCTTTTTGTGGGTAATTTTTATGTCAGTTCCGTACTTGTTGGAACCTTACCGCCGGAGACGGATATCCGTGGGATAAGGCGAGGTTTTCATTTTTAGGGTTGACACTTTCTAGCCCCAAACCAAAACGTGACATCGGTGCTTGAAGTCACTAACTTCTAGTTTGAGTCATGTTGGTAGGTATAGATTACCTGGTTGGGGTACGCTTGACTATCGTAACCAATGGTTGGAGACTTTAGGTGACATGGCTCAGAATCGATCACAATGGCGTAGGTGTATACACTTCCTGTCTTCCCTTAAACCATGAGATTAAAATTGCTTCATATTTATCTTTCTTCCTGTACTATATCCTTATATACAACCTTTTTCTATATATATTAACACCACTAAATGAACTACTTCTATGAATTCGGTGTTTATCTTGTTGTGCTAATGAGGTATGTCAACTTGTACCGATGCACATTTATGTGCCTGGTCGTACATCGCAGCTAACTGACTGACTAACTAACTAACCGACTGACTGACTAACTAACTGACTGACATAATTATTCAGTATTCATTTATATTAATCAATATGAAATAATTTAAGTGCATAAAATCAATAATCAATAATCAATATAAACTTAACACATGTTCTATAAAATTTAAAATTTTTTCAAATATAAACATTTCTTCCCGCTCATTCATTTGTTTAACTGTATGACTTAAGGAAGATATTGGCATATCACTGATATTCAAATTATACACTGATATTCTGATTATTGAATCATTCATAATTACATACTGGGAAATCTGTCTATTCATCTATCTATATTGATACAGCAAAGGGTTTCCTTTCTTAATTACATATTTGGAAATCTATCTATATTGATACAGAAAAGAGTTCCCTTTTTCCGTGGATCTTTCAAAAGAGATGAAAGATCTATTTCATATCATTAATAATAATATACTTATCATGTCAACTTTTGTAAGTTTATGTTCACCACATAAAAAATTACATAAAAATACGGTAAATTATGTAATGAATAGTAATACTACTGATAATACTACTGATACTACTAATACTACTATTATTACTACTCATAATAATAATAATAATAATAATAATAAATATATTAATGTTTACCCAATATCAAAAGAAAAATTAAAAAATTTTTTATATCGATTAGATCAATTACCATTTATTGATGAAATGTATCAAAATGATGAATGTAAGTTATGATTGAAAATTTTTATATGAACTTTTTTCTTGTAATTTATCTTATATCGTTTATGAGTGCAATTGAAGTTCCTTAGATTTGATTTCTATGTCCAATGATTGTGTGTAAGTACCGTTGGAGAGTTCTATACTCGGACGACTCCTAAATGCCTTGGTACGGCAGAGAGTCAGGAGAGTCCGCTCTTCCTTTCGAAATGCTATCAAATGGCCACGTGTATATAGCCTCTGTCAGGAAAGTCCTACTCACTGTTTTTTCATGGTGTGGGTGTTGTTTACGAAATTGAGAGGATGAAAATCCAATGTACGGCGATTTAACCGGGTTGGTGGACACGGAATGTTTATCGAGGGGAGTTGGAAAACCCTGATTCCAAACCAATGGTGCACATGGGCTAGCTCCAGTATCCTGAGGGAACAAATGGCATATGAATCAATTGTTGGTTACCGGCTACCATGTAACCGCATCTCCTCACGATGCTCCACTGCCTTGCGGATCAGACCTTTAGGTCAAAGGCTCCGGGTGTGTTTCCCTAAGAAAACCACCTGCTTCAATTTGGACACCTGGGCAGTATCACAGCCCTCACACAAATCAAATGGGATTTGTGTAGAGCACATCTATCTGGTGTCCCTTTGTACCAATTTCTAAAATAATCAAAATTGATTAAGTTAAACAAACAGGACTCAAACCTAGAATAATACTATTAGACCATAAAGTTACACAGTAATATTGTTTGGACATTTTAAACTATAATAGAGTTCTCATATTTGTGTAATTGTTAAGAACAATTATTCTGTTTATACAATCTTTGATCTATGTATTGTTTACAGTTTCTTATAGTTGACTACGTGGTCATTACAGCTGATGTCTTTATGTATCAGGTTCTGAGTTTCATATTACTGATTAACTGGATTATTGAAACTCCTGTCCAAATAAATCTGAAGAATAGCTAGTTTTCATCTTTATTGAATCGTTTTTTGAGTTCATATTATTCATAACTTCCAACTGATAATTTTAAAATCAGAAAGGGGGTTTTGTGGAGATTTTAGTAATTTTATATAGTTGAGATCATGAGTCAATTGAAGTTAGACCACCATGGAAAACCTGAAAGCACTGGATGACCGTTTCTTCCTATTGTAGGACCGTTGAATGCTGGCTCAGTGGTCTATCGGTCAAGTGCTCTGGTTGGTCCTGGGTTCGAATTTCGTGAGGCGGGATCATGGATTCGCACTACTGAGGAGTTCAACAGTAGAACGAAACGGCCGTCCAGTGCTTCCAGGTTTTCCATAGTGGTCTAGCTTCAATTGACTCATGATCTCAACTATATAAAGATTTAAGATCATCGAAATCCTATTCAGATAATATAATACTAATTTCTAATCAGTAGTTAGTGACATCGTGGAATGACAGCCAATTTTATACATATTATGCATTTGACAATCATCAAAGTTAAATAATGAGGGATAATTTCTGTAATACCATGTTTAATGATTCTGGAAAGCATCACTAAAGTCTATTGTATGTAGAGGCATATTTCTTCAATCATTTCATAAACGGAAAAAGACAGCCAATAAGAATGAAGTAAACAAAAAGTACTTAAAAAAAGAATCACAAACAAGGCTATCTGATTGAAATGACTTGAAATATACGTACAATTGCTGACTGGAACAAATCACTTCTATATAAATTAGGTAATGATGATGGTCTCTTAAATATAAGTGATAGCTACTTGATGTTCGCTAACAAGGCATAAATATCTTAGTCTTACAGGAGGTCAATCGCATTTTGAAGTTTCAACGAAAGCATCTTAGATTGTAGAACCATTCAACGTGGGATCGGATTCCATAGGAACTATCAGTCTCTTCAAGACTCCAGATGAAACTTACTGAAAAGTGTTCAAAACAGCCTGAAATTTAGATTCAACAGGATTTCCTTCCATCTACCACCGGTAAATTACCCCCCCCCCTAAAAAAGGCAACACCAGAAACACTTGTCGATAATATCTAAAATTTAAACTCATGACTAGTCATATGTATCTATGCATATAACTAGCACATTGAAATATGAATAAATCAAATTTCCTAATCAAAATTGGCTTATATATTACGCCAATACTTATGAAATACATATCTGACAGTCACATGTGTCCTAATTATTGTTAATTAATAAAATGTAAAATTTATAAAGTGACTAAAAGTTATTTCAGCTGTTCAATAACATATGGTCGTGAATACAAACTTACTATTTTTACACCAAAAAGGTAATATATTTACAATTGATTGATCACTGGGTGGTGATAAATGTCATGCATGTCAAGTCCTTCTTAGTGCTGATCGAATACTATCGATCAAGTTTCAATGTGGCCATTAGTCTAGGTTGGCTCAACACTGTGTGCACTATGTTGAGGTAAGATGGTGGTTGGAAGTGGTCAACAGGAAACTTTGGACCCGGGTTTCATGCTACTTGGCACTCGTCAGCAAGGTGTACCTGTAATCTTGAGGAAACTAGTGCTCCCTGACGGATTCGATCCCGTGTGACTTAGCTTCACAATCAGAGATGTTACTACTGAGCTATTCGGGCCGCGACCGTCCTCCTGTAGGACTGAGATGTAATCACAATTGATTGATAACTGGGTGGTGATCAATGTCATGTGTGTCAAGTCCTTCTTCATTTAAAATGGTTAAAAACATATCAATCACATGAACACTCTTCACAGATATAATGGCTCTTATTAATAATTTGTAGACATTAATCGTTTCCATCTGTTGACGTTAAGGACTGTAATTGATCACACTCTATTAGTATATGTTCATCACGACAAAAAAAGCTTTGATATCCCAATTTCGATGCAATTTTTTAGATATTAAACGGATAGTGGTTAGCAATATAATCCAGGTCGTATATTTCATTCCTTCTAGGACTTGTTAAATGAATATATCTGTATTCTACTGTCAATTATCATACTGAGACTTAAATCCAGTACTCATTAAAGATATTAATATCTATATGGACACAGTAGTTCAGCCCATAACAGTGCTTCCAAGTTTCAGTTACATTATAAAACATTCATAAAAATCAGAATGTATAAGAACCTAATGAAATACGTATATTCGCACCGGTATTGTAGAGAGCAAGAAGACGAGTGGGGATAATAGACTGTATTTCAGCACAAAATCACAGAGTGACTCAGTAAATTCTGTGAACCATATGGTAAATACTTAATTTGCAAACTATCAATCGATTGTATCATTCATGATCATTTCTTCTGCAAATGTCAGTCTATCGTCTCCTATTATTATTGTTCATGCATTTTCATACCAAATGCTTTCCATTCCCGTTCTTTCCTTATCGATCTTCAACTGAAATACATTCTATGCCTGATCAACATCATATACTACTTATGTAGATAAAAGTAACTCACACCACAGTATCACCTTATATCACTCAAAATTTCTTAAGACAAGTAATAATTAACTTACGACATCTCAGTCAAAGAGTATACATCTTCCAGATACCCCTTTTCAGAGAGTAATAATCTGATTTATCAAATATAAATCTTAAACACCTTTCTCCTGACTACTTCTATGTTACCCATCATAGTATGTTAGATAAAGAAAGAAGATAAACAATGAATAAAATATATCATTATAGTCATAAACCATTCTAAATTGATAAAAGAAATCCATCTTACTAATTTTATATTGATTACATATTAATAATAATCATAGTGTGATGTGGGTTACTTATATCCACATAAGTAGTATATGGTAGTGATCAACTATAGAATGTATTTTGGCAGAACATCGGTGAGGAAAGAACTGAAATGAATCGCAATTGGTAGATAAATGCATAAACAATGGAATTAAAGAAGATGAGCTGATATTTACAGAAGGAACAGTGAGAATTGAGTCGATTGTTTGTTATTTTGCAAATTAACTGTTTATTGTATAGTTATCAGAATTTAGTGAGATAGTCTGTAATTTATGTCTACATACATTCGATTGTCCAATACTCGTGTCCTGTTCATTACAAAAGTAATAGTAATAATTTCCACATTCAATTCATTGGACTACAAAAAATGATCTATTCAAAATAATGAATTTAATTAATAATAAAGTACGGTTGTAGATAACGTGATGGCATTTGAAGCGAACAAAGTTCGAGTCCCATAGTGAATATCAACTTTGAGATGCAGGTACATCCAGCTGATGAGTCCCAATTAGGACGAAACATGCATCCTGGATCCCTTTATTAGCCACTATCCATCATTGCTTATGAAGTATAGTTCTCTTTTTCTTTTTTTGAAAAAAAAGATAAATTAATGTAATACTCAGTGAAATAAGTTTTTCTTGTTTATTTTCAAAAAAAAATCTAATAAATATTGTATATGTCCAACTGATGAGTCCCAAATAGGATTAAACGCACGTCTTGGATTTCACTGCTAGCCACTGTCCATCTTTGCTTATAATGTTTGTGAATTAAAGCTACATCGAGGCAGTTTGCACAGGATGCACATATGTCAATTAGATACTGTACAGTTGGAGTCCTAAACATCAATAGGAATACTCAAAACAAACAATACTAAATGAATTTAAACTTTACCCCATTGCACAAACTAGTGGCTTTCATGACTCAATAGCTGAGTGAATAACGCGATGACGTTTGAAGCAAAAGCTAATGAGTTCGAATCTCAGAATGAACATCAACGCTGAGATGCAGATATATCCAGTTGACGAGTCCTGAATTGAACGAAACGCATGTCTAACTGGATTCCACTACTAGCCACTATCCATCACTGCTTACAATCCTTATGAGTTAAGGCTATATCGAGGTAATACACACAGTATGCACATATGCCAATTAAAGACTATCCAGTTGTAGTCCTAAAACATCAATGGTATGATTCAAATAAACAATATCAAATGTATATATTTGTTTGGATAATGGATTGATTGTTTATTTGCTTGTTTGTTTTACTCTTTCTATATAAAATAATG